AGAGAGAGAGAAAGAGAGAGAGAGAGAAAAAAAAAAAACAAAAAAAAAGAGAGAGAGAGAGAGAGACAGACAGACAGACAGACAGACAGAGAGAGAGAGAGAGCTCATCGCTCCGCCTTCAGGCGGAGGCGAGGCGCGCATCCACTCCGAGAGCGGGTGGCTGGCGCTCTGAGTGGGTGACAGGTAGAAAGGGCGAGCAGAAGGCGTCGGAGAAGTATCCAGACGCCTTCTGCTCGCAGGTTGCCGCCCTCGCGCTGGATCAGCGCCCTGCCTCGTCCTCGTCGTAAATGGCGCCGCGAGAAGGGGGGTGCAGAAGAGAAGGGCAAGGATCGGGAGAAGGATATCCTTCTCCCGCTCCTTGCGGGAGCGGGAGAAGGGCATCCTTCTCCCGCTCCCTGAGGAGAAGAAAATCAACAAAGCACGCAACGCACGTAACATGTCCTCGGGGACCGCCGCGAAGATTCCCGAGGGCCATGATCCACATGACACTTCGAGGGATCACGAGGAGAACGACGAGGAGGATCATGAGGAGGATGATGGTGAGGAGGAGGAAGAGGAGGAACATGATAATGAGGAGGGCGAGGAGGATGAGGAAGAGGAGGGACAAACGGAGGAGGAGGAGAAGGATAAGGAGGAGGAGGAAAAGGAGGATGACGGTGGCTGATATCCATAGTTCACGGGTGTTTCAGCAGCGTGGTGCTCACAACAGGTTGTGCACGTGCTATTTACCTTGTGACATCCTCAAGTTACAAATGCGTATTGAAGGTTTATCTTGTTTGTACATGCAGATGTGCTCGTCCATGCCAAGTGTTCTCTTGGAAGAGCTTGCGTATCCGAAAGTTCTACGCAGCGCTTTCAAGATGCGACGCGAGTGTATGGCATGCGACTGAATGAAAAAAAGCATGTGTTTCATGTGTGTGCGCTCGTATTATAAGATCTTATGTTATTATATAACTAACACGTTCTTAAAATAAGATCTAACAGACCCCGGGGGACGTGCCTGAGTGGGCCCGGCTTCCTCTCTCCCTGTCGCGCCGGGGCTCCTCCTCCTCCCTCGTGCATCGCAGCTTTAATTTGCATGCAATGTGTCCCCTGTTGCCTGTCCGCCAGAGCAGTCGCTCTCTGCCCAGCTCGGGGAGCCAGAGACGGGGTAACAGCAGACGGGGTAACAGGAAACGGCTGGTTCGAGACATCAAATGGCCCTTTTGTTGCAGTGCTATTTTTTGTTTTCGCGTTCGATGAAGCACCTTACATGCTGGCTGTGTTGCACATTCTGCTGCACTGCAACTTTTGGTTTTGGGCCCTCTGTTACCCGATCTGTGGGGTTTGTTTGCAGTTCTTCCACAACTAGTTGCCAACACATTGTAGTGCATTTTCTTGCGTTGCAGAAAAATGCAGTGCATGTTTGTTCTGGTCTTTGCAATTTTGCCACCTGGATCCCCCGGTGGGTGTGTTACCCCGTTTAGGCGTTGCCCGGTTTTGTGCTCCCTGACCAGCCGCGGACGCAAAAACAGTGTGTGTGCGTGTCTGTGTGTGTGTGTGCGTGTGCGTGTGCGTGTGCGTGTGTGTATGTGTGCTTGTTGTGTTGTGTGTGTGTTGTTTGATGTGTGTTTTGTGTGCGCTGTGGTGTTGTGTTGTGCTGTGTGGTGTGGTGTGGTGTGGTGTGGTGTGGTGTATGATGTGGGCTGTGTGTGGCTTGTGTGTTGTGTGCGTGGCGTGTGTGTATGTGTGTGGGTGTGTGTCTGATATGTGCTGTGCGCGGTGCGTGTGGTGTTTGGGAGGAGGTGGGAGGAGGGGTGAGGAAGATGGGGTGTGAGGGGGGGGTGAGGAAGGAACGCGGGTGCGACGCGGGTGGAGCTAAAATTGGAACCCCGCTCAACATGTGGAGCCCTCCTTCTCTTCCTCCTTCTCCTCCTCTTCCTCCTCCTCCTCCTCCTCTCTCCCTCCTCTCTCCCTCCTCTCTCCCTCCTCCCTCCTCCCACCCTTGCCCCTCCTTCACGTCTCCGCACGTCATCAACATCACCAGGTCCCAAGGGGCGCCGCCCGCATGCGTCCGACCCACCCATGTTGGCATATCCCTCACAAGGATCGCGGCCCCATAGGGAGCTCCACAGAAGGTCCCAGGGGCGCCGCCCGCATGCGTCCGACCCACCCATTTCGGGACACCCATCACGAAGATCGCGACCCGAAAGGGAGCTCCACCGAAGGTCCCAGGGGCGCCGCCCGCATGTGTCCGACCCACCCATTTCGGCACACCCCTCACGAGGATTGCTCCACCGCAGGTCCCAGGGGCGCCGCCCGCATACGTCCGACCCACTCATTTCGACACACACCCCTCACGAGGATCGTGGCCCCAGTCGCCGCCCGCATGCGTCCGTCCCGCCGATGTCGGCATACCCCTCACGAGCATCGTGGCCCCATAAAAGGGGCCCAAACGAAAGTCCAAGGACCGCCACCCGCATGCGTCGGACCCACCCATTCGGGCACACCCCTCACGAGGATCGCGGCCACATCGGGAGCTCCACCGACTGTCCCAGGTGCGCCGCCCGCATGCGTCCGACCCGCTCATTTCGGCATACGCATCACGAGCATCTCGGCCCCATAAGGGCGCTCCACCGAAGATCCCAGGGGCGCCGCCCGCATGCGTCCGACCCACCCATTTCGACGCACACACACACACACACACACACACACACACACAACACACACACACACACACACACACCACACACACACACACACACGCACGCACGCACGCACGCACGCACGCACGCACGCACGCACGACGCACGCACACACACACACACACACACACACACACACACACACACACACACACACACACACACACCACGAAGATCGTGGCCCCATAGGGAGCTCCACCGAAGATCCCAAGGGCGCCGCCCGCATGCGTCCGACCCGCTCATTTCGGTACACCCCGCTCTCGAGGATCGTGGCCCCATAGAAAGCTCAACCGACGGTCCCAGGGGCGCTGCCCGCATGCGTCCGACCCGCGAATTCCAGCACATCCTTCACGAGGATCGTTGCCCCAGATGGGGGCTCCACCGAAGGTCCCTGCGGCCGTCCTCGCGCGCGCCTCCCACGCCCATTTCGGCACGCCCCGCACGCGCTTCGTGGCCCCGTAGGGAACTCCGCCGAAGGTCACAGCGGCCGTCATCAGATACGTCTCCCCCACAGCGCGCATACGCCACCCGCCCCATGTTGGCACACCCGTCAGGCGGTTCGCCTGTCTCACGCGGTTCGCCGCCCCTTTTTTGAGTTCTCCATCCATCGTGCCGCCTGCCCTACGGTACTCACATGGTTGGGTCCTGCGCCAGGATCATCCAACGCGGGGTCCCCAGAACACCCGGCCCTTCCACCAGGATTTGCATCCTGAGTCGTTTTGTCATTGCCTCCCGGGGCCCGGCGAGGGCCACTTGCAGGGGCCGACAGTTACGAAACACCTCTTCTCTGAATTTGTTCATGCTTTGGAGTTCGGGGGGCGACCCTTTTTTCCCAGGCCTCCCACATGGGGTTCGAGTAAATGGGGTTGGAGGATCGCGTATCGGCGATGCGGCTCGATGTGGCGTCCGATGTTCTCTATGCCGAAGCCGCGGATGCTTCGCGGGCGTCGCCGACGCATCACCGATGCAGCGGCGATGCATCGGCGATGCGGCGCGGGCCTTTCGAATCCGCGGACTTCGTTTGGACGGAGGGCCCTCGCCCAGCGCGCCGGGGGCCTCGCCCCCCCCTCCTCGAAGGACTCCAGCGCCGGTCGGCGCGCCGATCGCCCTCGGGGTCGTGGCCGACCTGGGGCAGACGGAGTTCGACTACACGAAAGAGTGACCTTTTGCCGGAGTGACCTTTGGTGCGGGCCCATTGGGGGCCCCCCGATCGCCGAGCGCGATGTAGCGTCTTGCGCGCTTGTGTTTGACCCCCCCGCGGCCCCCCAAGAAGCCGCGCACCAGAGGTCATTTCTACCGAGGGTCAATATTGCGTGTGGCCGAGGAGTGGTCCCACGACACCATGGGGCACATGCGGAAGGAGCCCCCCCCACAGATTGGGTCGCACCCAGCCCACCCGAAAGTGGCGCTGCCCTGCGGTCCGAGGTGCGGTGGGGGCGTTCGATCAGGAACGTGACCCGGAGGCTTCGGACCCCGGAGGCTTCCTTCTCTGGTGAGGGCGGCGGTGATATCCATGGCCAATCCACGATATGCTTCCCCCTGGCTCCCAGACCCGAAGATTCTTATCGAAGGTCTCCTTATACAGTGCCATCACCGTATCATTTACCGGCGACGCGTCGCCAGGCCCAGACGGGATACCTTTCGCAGCATGGAGATCAATCGAAGGCTTGGGGGTATCGATCCTCCTCGGCATCGCCAGGGAGCTGGAACGCGAGGGCGCGCCAGAGGTGCTACAGCAGGCATACGCGGACGAGTGCGAGAGCGGCACGTATGGGTACGACCTCGGCACGCTGGTGTGCCTGCCGAAGGCCCCCAGCGGGAAGGATCCAGTTGGGGACGTATTTTCGGGCCGCGGACACCCGGCCACTCTCCATTGTCAATTGCGACAACAGGCTGGTCGCAAACGCAACGACATTGCGATGGGAGGAACACCTGATCGACTTCATCCGGGAGAGACAGCAAGGGTTTCTCCGGGGCCGTCCATGTTGAAAGACTTGCTCGAGGTGGAATCGGCGATGATGCTGCGTTCCCTGCAGGACACCGACGCTGCGGCTGTATTTCTCGACTTTGCCGCTGCCTTCCCCTCGATCTCCCAACACTGTATCCACGAGCGTTTAGTTCACATGGGTGTCTCCGGTGCTGCTGTCAATGCGTTTCGGGTTCTGTACGACGAGTGCCAGTGCAACGTGTCCGTGAAGGGGCAGACGTTCGCTGGTTTCAGCATGTTTTCGGGCGTTCGGCAGGGATGCCCTCTCAGCCTTCTCATCTACGCAGTCGCTGCTGAGCTCCTCCTCGACGCCATCGAGAAAAAGACGCCCGAGGCCTTCGTGAGGGCCTACGCAGACGGCACTGCTTTTCTGATTCAGGACTTCTGGAAGGCCGCCCCAGGTTTGGCCAACACCTTTGCCGTCTTCGGAAGAATATCCGGCTTCAGGTTCAGCATGATGAAGTCGTACGTGATCCCACTCAACGCAGCCACGTTCGACGCCTTCGAGCGCAGGATAGCGAACGAGGTCCCCCACTGGGCCACAATGCCAGTGTGCTCCTGCTGTTAATGTCTTGGCTTGCAGATGGGCCCTGGCAAAGGCGACCCTTCGTGGCGCAAGCCGTGGGAGAAATACTTCGGGCGGGTACATCTGTGGAATGACCAACCTCTTGGGCTCCACTGGGACGCGAAGGTCTACAACACGTTCGCTGTTGCTGTCTTGGATTATGTGGCTCAACTTGAGACGCCGCCTGGTTGGCTGGTCGAATCTGCCAGAGTCTCCTTGCGGAATGCGGCCAAAGGCCCCGGCAATTGGGCGACGTCAGAGGGCTTGTGGGCGCTCAGGAAATCATTCGGGCTGCCAGCTTCCTTTTGCAAAATCCAATGGTATGCCCTGGCGGCCCAAATCCGGGTGGTGCAGTTTGACGGAGCCTGCGTTCCGAAGGCACGTTTTTCTGCGGACGTGGAGCGGCTGCGAGATGCCTTTCGCAACCCTCCACGAGAACACGATGCCTTCGGCGACTGGTGCAACCGCAGCTTCATCCTGGCCCTGGCCCAGGCCGAAAGCCAGCTACAGCAGCACCGCGCCACGGTCGAGGGTTTGCGACGATCACGCCCGACTGTCGCCCGTAGCGTTGCCCAGAACACAGCGTGGCGGAAAGTTTGCCAAAGGACGGTGTATGCTTACTTGGCGGCCTACATGGCTCCAGACCCTACAGTGCGATTGAGGGAGAAGCTCCAGAGGTGGGAACTGGAGGACGGACGCCGCCACGCGACGATCTTCGGCAGCGTGCAGGAACGCACGCCTGCGTGGCGGGGCCGTCGCGCATCCCACCTACTGCAGTCATCGGGGAGCCTCGCGCCGCCGCGTGTCCAGGCGGCCGTCTTCTCGACGCTCTTCAATCGCTGGACCACAGCGCGGCGATTCCAGGGCCACGGGCGTTGCCTCTTTGGTTGTGGAGACGGCTCCGAGGACAGCATCGAGCAATACTGCCGCTGCAGAGCTGTCCGGGCAGTGTTCCAACGGAAATTGCGCCTTGACCCAGATGCCTTCTGCAACGTCCACACGCTCATGCCTGTGACCCCGCGCGTCCGCTCGAAGGAGGGATTGTCCGTGATCGGCCTTGCCATCTACGCAGTGTACAGGTGCACCAACACGTTGCGACACCGAGGCCGATGTGATGTCGACGTCGCGGTCGACGCGATCGCCCAGGCAATTCGAGAGGGTGCTCAAGGACACAGGGTGGCTTTGCGGGCGCGGCGATCGAGGTGGGCAACACCGTCGGAGGAAACGGCGTTGCTTCCTCTACCTCCGACCTCATTCTCCCCGAGGGTCGAAACCCTCTGGCGCGGATGCTGGGAGGAAGGCCAGGAGGGGCGAACGTCGAGGATACGTCTTTCTCAATGAACCACCTGGCTCGCGGGCAGCTGTTCGAATGCGATTGCAACCGCCGTCTCCCGCAGCTCTTGTACCGCCTCGGCTTCTCCTTCGACTCCTGTTCTATTTCAACCACGTCTGCTTCTTGGTCTCGGTCCGTGTTGCTGCGCCCCGTCGCGTACGTCAAGGTGATGTGGCCTGTAACTACCACATCTCCCCAATGCACTTTTCTCGCGCCTGGCCCGACGCCCAGCCCGACGCTCTTCCCGACGCCCTCCCCGACGCCCGTCCTGGACCCCTTCTTGCGCCCCCCCCCCCCCCCCCCTGGCACCCCTGCCGGCGCCCTGCCCGACGCCCGACCCGGCGCCCCGACCGACACCTTGCCCGACGCTGCATCCGACGCCTGGCACAACGCCCCCCCGACGCAGTTCCCGACGCTGTCCCCGACGCCCTCTCCCGACGCCATCTCCCGACGCCCTCCCCCTGCGGCCTTCCCGGCGCGCTTGCCGACCCCCTGCCTGGCGCCACGTTCGACGCCGTAACCGACGCTTCCCGGCACCGTGCCCGACGCCTGCGGGGGGTGCCAGTCCGCCCTCCTGGAATCGCTGCGAGACGCACGGGCGCGCCATTGGATTTATTGACACCCAGGCGGTTACAATTGAGACGCAATGTGTTCTTCGCCACTGCGTGCGCACCAGAAAATACATCGACAACCAGGCGGGCGCATTTCGGACGCAACTTGTTTCTCACCACTGCGTTGGCTCCGTTTGCGCAGGACTCGTGGTTCTGGGCTGCGGGCGGTTTCCCGGGCAGCGCCGTTGCGACAATCCGTGCAGAGGGGTGCGGTGACTCGCGGAGCTGTCATCGATGGTTACTTTGTCATTGCCATCGTCGCTGCGGAAAAAATTGTTTCTTCCCGCAGCGGGCGCGCCGTAGGATTCATCACCGTCCAGACAGCTGCATTGGAGACGCAACTCATTCCTCCCCGACTCCAGCATGCGCCTGCCGCACAATGCAACACAGTGGAAACGCATGGCGAAGCCACATCCTGCCCCTTTCAAGCCATGGAATGTGTTTGCCGCGAGAGGCAGCACAGTAGCAGCAACTAGAGAAGACGAGGCAATCTACGCTCGCATTCTGGGGCCTGCCAGCCCGTCCTTGCCCTTGGGGCTTCAAGACGCAGGAGCATGAGGGGCCGCGCGGGTCTCGCCGCTGCTCGGGAGGGCGCTGCAACGAAGTTCGGCCCTCATTGCTGGCCGCCACCGATTCCAGCGCCGACGCCATCACGAACGCCCGCGCCGACGCCAGCAGATGACGCCAGCGCGGTTGTCGGCGCCTAGCGCCAGGGCCATCGCCGACTGCGGCCCCAGCTTCGGCGCTTACGCCAGCGCCGACGCCAGCATGAGCGCCTGCGTCGGCGGCGCCGGCGCGGGCGCCCACGCCTGCGCCGACGCCAGCGACTACGCCAGCGCCAGCGCCGCCGCCGCCGATGCCAGCTTCAACGCAGGCTCAGGGAAACGGCGGCCATTCTTGCGCGCGACGCAACGATGATCATCAGCACGGCGACGATCTGCACAGCGGTTCTCGTGCAGTCGACGAGTGAGTGATGCTACTCCAGCAGCTGACGGTGGCACTGTTTCGGCGCCAACGCCGTCACCTACACCCGCGCCGACGCCTCCACCGCTGCCGCCGCCAATGCCGACACCTACACCAGCACCGATGCAAACGCCGTCGCCATCAGGGGCGCTTGCGACGGCGCCGGCAGCATAGCCAGCGCCGTGGTCATCACCGACGCCTGCTTCGGCACCGACGCCAGCGACTACGTCAGCAACGTGGACATCACCGACGTCGGCGTCATCGCCGACGCCAGCGATTGCATTTGCTCCAACGCCAGTGTCGAGACGCCAGCTCGACAACGGACGCCTGCGTCGGCACGAAGGCCAGCGCCTGCGCCAGCGCCGACGCCATCACCGACGCCTGTGCCAGCGCCGACGCTTGCGCCAGCACCGGCGCCTGCGTTGACGCCAGCGTGGGTGCCTGCGTCGAGCTAGCACCAGTGCCAGCACTTGCACCCGTGCCGAAGCCTGCACTGACGCCAGCAGGAACGCCTGCGCTGGCGCCAGCGCCAACGGCTACACCAGCACCGCTGTCATCGCCAACTCCAGCATGCACGCTGGCGCCTACACCAGCCCCGACACCAGCATGCGCGCGAGCGGTTGCAGCGGCGCCACCGCCAGCGTCCACGCTTGCGACGGCGCCAAAACTGACGCCAAGGCGAATATCGACACCTGCGCCAGCAGCAGCACCAGCGCTCACCCCTGCACCGAGGTCATCACCAGCATCAGCACATACGCTGGCGCAGCACTGACACCAGCACCGACGCCAGCATCGACGCCAGCGACTACGCCGGCTTCGACCCCAGCTTAGACGATTGGCCCTTGCTTCAGACTTCAACGCGGGGACTGGATTTTTTGTTGCGCGGTGACAGCCCACTTCGTGAGATTGATGGTTTCGGATGCTCTGAGGTTTTGCTGTTAATTTTCATGACCTCCCGCTTTTTTTCCCATCGTGGAGGATGGTGTATTTTCCTGCACGGGTCATTCCCTGGACCATTAACGGGGAGGCCTGGTAGTGCCATTGGTTCTGGTTACCTTGGTGGTAATCTTCTGTACCGGTCATGCCCTGGACCGTTAAAGAGGATTTGGTCTGTTCTTATTCTGACATGATGGCTTATTAGTCCTGACCGGCACTCAGGGGGCCATTGGTATTTTGGAACACGGAGCTCACCTACGGAGCTCACCTACTCATGCTTCGGGAGGCGTTTTGCTGTTCATTCTCATGTCTTCCCTCCATATGTCATGATGGTGGATGATGAATTTTGCTGCACGGGTCATGCCCTGGACCCTTAACGGGGAGGCCTTGTAGTGCCATTGGTTCTGCGACGTTGGTTGTATTCCATTGTACCGGTCAGCGGAGCCATGGGGCAATTGCTTGCACTTTGCGGCGCTCCCGTAAGTATCCTTGTACGGCGATTGCATCGCAGAAGACGGCCAGCGTCACAGGGAGGGCCTTATCTGTCTTTCGCGGGCTTCGCTCTTGGCCAATTCATTCCTTTACTTTTGCGATGCTTATGGGGTGGGTATCGGGCCACTCACAAGGTGTCCTTCGTCGTCACTGACCTCGGGTGACGTCTGCGGAGGTTTGTGCCTCCCTTGCCGCCCCTGGTTAGCCTGGCTGACTGCGGCGCGCCGCCTCGTGTCCTCGAATCCTCCTCCCTGCAGGCTTGTGTCTTTTTTCCCCACATCCTAAGATGGGGTTCTTGTTATTACTTGGACGCCTCCTGCTCCTCTTCTCCCTCTTCTCCTTCTCCTCCTCCTCCTCATACCCAGACTTACTCGCACTCATATTTACTCATACCCAGACTTACTCAGACACAACATTATTCATACTAAGACCTACTCATACTCATACCTACTCCTACTCAAAGTTACTCATGCTGAGACTCACTCATGTCCAGACTAACTAATACTCAGACTTGTTTCCAGATTTACTCATATTCAGGCCCGCTCGTACTCAGATCTTTTCATTGTCTGATAAACCACACACGCAGCAGATTGTGAGGATGTCTCAGGCGGGGCGATGGCTTCAGCCCCCCTAAAGGGAGCCGCCAGGAGTGTTTTCACAGTCCCGTTCGCGGCCGTTTTGTGGGGATGTCTCAGGCGGTTTGCTTGTTTTCTGTCCCAACATCCTTGGCTATCCGAGCAGATTGTGAGGATGTCTCAGGCGGGGCGCTGGTTTCAGTATCCCTAGCGGGGGCTGCCAGGGGTGTTTTCAAGGTACCCTTCGCAGCAAGATTGTAGGGATGTCTCAAGCGGTAAGCGGTCTGCTTGTTTTCTGTCCCAATATCCTTGGCTATCCGAGCAGATTGCGAGGATGTCTCAGGAGGGATGCTGGATTCAGCATCTCTAAAGGGAGCCGCCAGGGGTGTTTTCACGGTCCCGCTCGCTGCCGTTATGTGGGGATGTCTCAAGCGGTTTGCCTTTTTTTCTGTCCCAACACCCTTCGTTTGCAGAGCAGATTGTGAGGATGTCTCAGGCGGGGCGCTGATTTCAACACCCCTAATGAGGAGCCGCCGAGGGGTATGACACGGTCCCGTTCGCGGCCGTGTGGTGGGGATGTCTCAAGCGGTTAGCTTGTTTTCTGCCCCGACATCCTTCGCTTGGATAGCAGATCGTGAGGATGTTTCAGGCGGGGCGCTGGTTTCAGCACCCCTAAGGGGAGCCGCCAAGGGGTATGACACGGTCCCGTTCGCGGCCGTTTTGTGGGGATGTCTCAAGTGGTTTGCCTGTTTTTGTGCCCCAACATACTTCGCTCGGAGAGCAGATTGTGAGGATGTCTCAGGCGGGGCGCTGATTTCAACACCTTCAAGGGGAGCCGCCGAGGGGTATGACACGGTCCCGTTCGCTGCCGTTTTTTGGGGATGTCGCAAGCGGTTTGCTCGGTTTCTGCCCCAACACCCTTCGCTTGGAGAGCAGGTTGTGAGGATGTCTCAGGCGGGGCGCTGAACGTCCCCCAAGCCTGTCAGGTCTCCGAGGTCGCCCAAGCCTCCCAAGCTTCCCAAACTTCCCAAGTCTCGCAAGTGTCCCATGTCTTCCATGCCCCCCCCCAAGTCTCTCGAATCCCCCAAGCCCCGCAAGCCTGCGGTGGCGGAAGAGCAATCGCAACGGTGATGCCGTTGACGCGAATGACGCCACCATGTAGGACAGTCGCGGGGGACAGGGGCGGCGGCCGGAGGGGGGGAGAGAGGGAGCAACGGCCGTTCAGGGGGGCGGGAGGGGAAGAAGCACACAGACACAATTGATCGTCGAACCCTAGGAAAATTGGAACAGGGGGAATGGGGGGGGAAGTCGAACATCAAGACAATCATAGCAGAAGTGGGGATCTTGGGATCGATGTATGTATATGTATGTGTCTCATTTGTCTGTGTCCCTGGGCCCCTTCGACGAAAGTGTGGGCGGTGCCGATCCAACGATTTTGTTTTATCAGTCCAAGCGTTTTTCCTACATTTCGGCCCTCGGGGCTCGGGGACTGCTTTGGCGCCCGTGTGGGGGCAGGAGCTTTTCGGTTTTACCGCCGAGGGTAGGAGGCGATCGATTCCACGATATGATCCGTCCTCCTCGCCGTAGGACTTCGAGGAGGGGGCGTTCGACTCGGCGATCTTCCCAGGCGATTTGTCTTACGCCGACGGGTTCGGCCCGCGCTGGGATTCTTACGGTCGCCTGGCAGAGCCTTTGTTTTCACAGTTACCTACTGCGTACACGGTTGGAAATCACGAGATGTCTTCGGGCATGGAGCAGGCGGTCCACTTCCGTTGGAGGTATCCCGCGCTCTTCTTGCGCGAAGATTCGGGTTCCACGTCTGATTTGTACTACTCATTCGAGGCTGGGATGGCCCACGTGGTCACGTTGTGTTCGTATTGCCCTTGCGGCAACGGGTCTGCCCAGTACCGCTGGCTGGAGCGCGATTTAGCCAGGATGAACCGCACGCGCACGCCGTGGCTGATCTTCAACTGGCACACCCCCTGGTACACGAGCAACGCTCACCATACGATGTCGGAGGGCGAGGAGATGCGGGGCGATATGGAGGCCATGCTGCACGCGGCGGGTGCCGACATCGTGTTCAACGGACACGTGCATGCTTACGAGCGCATGCACCCCGTGTACAAGAATCATACGGATCCGTGCGAGGGCACCGTCTACATTGTGGTAGGCGACGGTGGAAATCGCGAGGGCTACGCGAACCCATGGGTGACGCCCGAGACACCGAAGCCGCCGCTGTACGACCAGCCCGAGTGGAGCGCGTTCCGCGAGTTCGCCTTCGGCTACGGCCAGCTTCGCATCCACAACGCATCGGCGGCCGAGTGGCAGTGGCACAAGAACGACAACGGCACCAAGTCCGTCTCTGACTCGGTGTTGCTGTACCCACGGGGCAGGCGTCCCGGCTGCCAGAGTGGAGCCCTCAGCGGCATAGTCGTCTGAGGCAAGGCCGCGGGCCAGCCCTTGGGCTCCGGACGCCTAGCCATCTGAGGCCCAAGCGGAGGGGTGCGGCAGATTCGCGCCGCGTGGAGGCGGCGGCGACGCGAGCGTGGGCGTTTACGGCTGAGTTCTGCCAACAGCCTGCGCTCGGCCGTTATGGCACGAGCCCAGGTATCAGAATGCGGCGTTCGCTCAGGGTTGAACGATCCACGTGGCGTCGGAAACCAACGACAACCTCATCGCGACGTGAATCTGCCGCAGCAGCAGGAGCAGCAGGGGAGCCCTGACGGTGGAGGAGGAGGAGGAGGAGGAGGAGGAGGAGGAGGAGGGGGAGGAGGAGGAGGAAGGATGCCAGAGCGAGGGCTGGCGTGGGGCCGCCCTGCCGCTCGAACGTCGAAGCCGCGCGCCGCCAAACGTCATACTAGGCGGCAGCCGCTCAAAAGTCCCCCACCTCCCCCTCTCCCTTTGCGGCTGGTTCTCGCCGCATCTGGGCGGCGGCCATCCCAGCGCCGGCGGTCAAGGCTGAATGCCGCCTGTGGCCCGGAATCGGCCTGTTGCCAGAAGGGCGCGCTCTTTCAGGGTTGGACGGTACGCGGCGTCAGGATCCAACGCCGCCATCAGGACCCAACGCCAACGTCATCGCGGCCGGTCGCGTGGTGGGTCATGGGGTGAGTCGGGGGTGGGTCGCTGGGTGGGTCGCGGGGTGGGTCGCGGGGTGGGTCGTGGGCGAGGGCCACAGCAACAACGCAATATCGCAATCTCGTTTTAAGATTGTCCGCTCTTATCTGCGCGCGTGCCATTCAACACAAATATCACAAACCCTCAATGCCCACCTCTTCGTCTTCGATCATACCCCCTTGGGAGTATATCGTTTTGTTACCTGCAACGTGTATTTCATGCAGCCCTTAGGCAGGAAAAGAGAGGACGGATGGAAGAAAGGGAAAGGGGGGAGGGAGGAGGATGGAGCACGAGAGCAAGAGTAGCAGGAGAGGGGGCTAGGAGCAGAAAACACGTGGAAGAACCAGCTGGGCAGATCGGGCGGGTAGACTCTAACAGGCGGGTCGGGAAGGCGGGCCCAGGCGGCCAGGTCGAACATGCGGGTTGTTGAAGCGTGCGTCCTGCATGAATCGCGAGTCTCGAGCGATAGTGCGATTCCCAAGTAAAGCGCGAGCGAGGCCAAAGCGAAAGCGTGATTCCTGAGCGTCGAGGGCGCTGCGTCTGACTACACAGCGGGGAAGTCCCACGCGAAAGCGCGATCCTGCATACATTGTGAAGACGTCCCGCGCGAGAGCACGGTCTGGGAATACATTGTGAGGAAGTATCCGGCGGGAGCCGTTGTTGACGTAACTCGGTGGCCAGGGCACAGTCTTGAGATTTAAAATAGGAAACAAAAACAAGAAAAAACGGTTGCAAGCCTCGGAAGGGCACTTCAATTAAAAAAACAATGTGCCCTGGAGAGGGGTCGACTATGTCCGTAAGGGCTTCACCCACATGCCGCCGGCCCCCCTCTCTTACAATGGGAGTTGCCAGAGTTGTGTTGGGTTGTCCGGGCGCTGACGTGAAGCAATGTCGGGACTTCACGCGAGGGCCGATATTATTGATATTCGAAGGTTTTTGGCTTCGGTGGCGCGAGTATGAAGTAATCTACTATGGTTTATGATGGCTTCGGGGACGCGAGTATAGTATATGTGGTCCAGGGCTTGGGCCCCCCCCCCCCCCCCCGAATGCTGATGCCATTGGGCCCCCCCCCCCGCGCGCGCGATGGTCCCCCCCGCCACCCCCTGTGGGCGTGGTGTGGTGCTACGCTGCGGTGCCCCCCCCCTCCTGTGGATGTGGTGTGGTGCTGTGGTGGTTCAGAGGTGGGCGTGGCGTGGTGCTGCGCTGCGGTGCCCCCCTCCCCCCCGCCTCTGGATGTGGTGTGGTGCTGTGGTGGTTCAGAGGTCGTCGTCGTCGTCGTCGTAGTCGTCGTAGTCGTCCTCGTCGTCCTCGTCGTCCTCGTCGTCGTCGTCGTCACCGTCGTCGTCGCCGTCGTCATCGTCGTCATCGTCGTCATCGTCGTCGTCGCCGCCGCCGCCGCCGGCGTCGTCGTCGTCGTGGTCGTCGTCGTCGTCGTCGCCGTCGTCGTAGTCGTCGCCGTCGCCGTCGCCGTCGCCGTCGCCGTCGTCGTCGTCGTCGTCGTCGTCGTCGTCGTCGTCTCTGGGACCATACCATCTGGGGGGGGGGGGCCCGTGGGCCCGGAGCCCGGGACGATATATTACGAGAGTTTGTGGCTTTGGGGATGCATCGATTGATTAATTGATAAGGATTTATGGCCTCAGGAGTGCAAAGATTACATAATGTGCAAAAGGTTGGTTTGCGGCCTCGGGGACGCTGGTATGGTGTACTTTACAAAGGGTATGTGGCCCTGGGAGTGCGAATATAGAATTCGCCGGCCCAACGGGCCAGAGGCATGCTAAGATCTCCGGTAAGTACTTAACAATATTCCTAGTTCGCGCGCGCGGGGCGGCCTCTGGGGGCCCCGGACGAAAAGTACCCCGCCGATCCCCGGCTGACCCCCGGGCGATCCCCAGGGGGGAGGCTATTTTTCGCCACCTCTCATTTTTTTTGCCAAAGACTAACCCCCTCCCGCCCCAATGGGCCCCACAGAGCCCCCCAAGAGGCCCCACGGGAGCCCAATACGCCGCCAAGGAGTCCCAAGACGCTCCCAAAAAGACCCCAAGACGGCCCCAGGAGACCCCAAATAGCGCTCCAGGGCCGGCGGAATAAGCGAAGCGATTAAATAATCTTCGAACTTGTATGTTTTCGGGGGCGCGAATATTTGGTCATTTACTTGGGTTATGGTTTCGGGGGCGCGAATTATGTGTTACTGCTGTTTATTCTTTCTGGAACGCGAGTATTGTTTGATTCACGACGGATCATGGCTTCGGGGACGCGAGGTTTGCGTAATCTGTAAGCGGCAATAGCTTCGGGGGCGCGAATCTTATGTGATCTATAAGGATGTATGGCTTCGGGGATGCGAATATGGTGTAAATTACGTTTATTGCTATAACTTCGGAAGCACAAGCATAGTTTCATTGTTTGAAAATGTGTCTTGCTTCTTTGACGTGTTTACTGCATAAGTCACAAGGGTTCATGGCCTCGGACACGCGCAGATTGCGTATCCTACGACGGGTTATGGCTTCGGGAACGCAAGTATGAAGTAATTTACAATGGTTTGTGGCTTCGGGGGCGCGACGATCGGATATTTTACTAGGGATAATGGCTTCGGGTACGCAGGTATTGCATACATTACGAGGCGTTGTGGCCTCGGGGGCGCGAGCATTTTGTAATCTACGAAGGGCTATGGCTTCTGGGGCGTGAATCTCATGTAATTTAGGTGCCCCACGACCCCGGGGAATTCAGAGCACGCGATTCGGGGACGCTAGACACGACGTTTTTCGGTGCCCCCCCCTCGCGCGGACATCCACAATTTACAGTCGAAAGCAGAACGTGTAACTATCACACTGAAAACTGGAACCTGCAACTTGCACAGGGATCATGAAAGTTTAATGTTTGCAGCCGGATGGTTCCGCCAGGAGGCTGGCGGATTGGTTTTTCAGTAGTGAGAATTCAAGGACAACACCACCAACAACAGCAACAATAATTTAAGACCGTTCGCCCTTAGATGCTCGAGTGCCCAATAGCGCGTATTTCCCAAACCCTCGACACCCGCCCTCTTCGTTTTCGATCGAACCCCTTTTGGGGGGTATACCTTTCTTCCCTGCAGGCCGGGCCCCGGCAAGCGGCGGGGCGGCCGCGGACCGTCGGCCTGGCCAGCGGCAGCGCTGATCGGCGGGGCGGCCGCGGACCGTCGACCCGACCCCAAAAGGGACGGACAGGGAACCGACCACGACGACGACGACGACGTCGACGACGTCGAAGACGACGGCGACGACGACGACGACGGCGACGACGAGCGAAACCGAGAGCGAGAGAGAACGACAGCAGGGCCACGAAGGGCACGAAGTAGGCCACGAAGGGCGACAGCGGGGACACGAAGGGAATGGGGCCACGAAGAGCGCGAACGAACGGGGGCCACGAAGTGCAGATTATGCGGGGCCACGGAAGGCAACCATGGGGCCACTGAGGGTAGTAGCTGGGCCACGTAGGACAGTGATGGGGGACACAAATGGCGACAGCGGGGCCACGAAGCGCATGCACATGGGGCCACAGCGGGCGCGACTCCTGGGCGCCTGGGCGTCGGGAGCGCGGCGCTTGGGCAAATTGTAGGACATTCCAACGCAAGGCTATTCTTCAGTAAGTTGCAAGCGCGTCTCCAGCGAGAGCGACTCCAGAGCGCCAGGAGAGCGATTCTTGAATAGATTATAAGGAAGTCCCAAGCGAGAGCGCGACTCCTGAATACAATGCGAGGAGGTCTCGGGCGGGAGCATGGGTCCTGGCTAAATTGCAAGGAAGTCTCAGGCGGGAGCCGTTGTTGTTGTTGTAACCTGGGGGCCAGGGGCCCAGTTTGAGCATCAAGAATTGCCCTGTCAAAAAAACCGGGTGCGAGCGTTGATGGGGCACACTTTGATTGAGAAAAACAGTGTGCACCGGTGGGGGGGGATCAGCAATAATCATTTGTCAGATAAGAATTCACCAACAGCAGCAACAACCACATCCATTTTGAGCTTGATCGTTTTTACCTGCCGCTCGCGTGCCACTCAACGCGTCTATCCCAAAACCTCGATACCCGCTCTTTTCGTCTTCGCCCGCACCCCTTTGGGAGCTCATCTTCCTGATCTGCCACCTGCATGTTGCGAAGCCCTTAAAACGGGGAGGAGAGGGCGAATAGGGAAGGACAAGATGAAACACGACATAGATTAGCAGGGCGCGGGGGCCAGTAGCATCACACACGTGGCAGAACCATACGGGCTGATCGGGCGGGTAGATCCTACAAATACGTTGCCGAGGAACCCCACATATTTAATTTAGCAATAGTGTGATTACCGATCATTACCATGTATGCGCAACCCTCAGTTCTTAAGCCTCGTCGCGAAAGTTTCGCCATCTTGCCATCCATCACACCATTGCTTGTGCCTCCTCCGTCCTTCCCGCCTTTTATATTTCACCGGGGAAACGTTCGAGGTGGTCACCGAGGGCCGCTTCCTGGGGCGGCAACAGGCAAGAAGGTTGATGCAAGACGATCTGCCACATCGCGGTTAGTCAGGAGGCCCACTGTGGAAGTCGGTGCAAATCAAACCCGTCTCGCAAACGCTCTACGGAGCCTCTAGAGCGATCCTGTTTTCCTCCTCTGATGTTGCGTTCTCCCGCACCCTTGCCTCCCTTTCTCACCTAGTTTGGCTCACTTTTCTCAGCGTGGTCTCATGCAGTTTCCACGTCTGTCCCCGCGTTCCTTCGGCGGAGAGTCTTTGAGCTGCGCGCGCAACGGAAGGGCAAAGCAAGCATAATCCGCCTGCGTGCAATATGTGAGTGCCCTTCGATGGAAAATCTTTGGGCTGCAGTTGCCACGAGGACAAAGGCTGGGCGGCCGCTCCGAAATCGTCAAGGAGCGGCGTGGGCCGCGCGAATTCGATGCGGCTGGACAGCGCTGCCCCAACGCATTCCAACAACCTCACGCCGCTGGCAAGATCCATTGGCGTTTCAGGGCGGGGGGTTCGATCTCCCGCGTTTCCGTGGCCACGCGCTCATCGAATTTCTGGAGTGTCTTGAGCACGGATGGAGGCGGGCCTTCGCATGACTGCCGCCCGCAGCAAGGGAGCGCCTGCTACCTGTGATGGAGAATTCTGCCGCACCCGCGTGACAACCCCAGCGCGCCGAGTCGGCTTGAGCCCAGGCGTTTTTTTCTGGTCTGCATGCAGACAATTCTGGGTGCAACTGATGGCGAGCGCCGACCATGCGACGGATAGCGTGTACACCCCCTGCGCGCATCTTCTGGCGTCGAGAAACTGCCGCGCCTGCCACGCTTTACGCCTGTGCAAGAGGCTAACACCCCCACCCCCTATACCACGCATGCCGCGCATTGCGCGCGTGCGACGCGCAGCGCCCCACTGCGCCCTCACCCCCCGCGCGTCCCCTGTGGTTTCGAGCAACTGTGGCCCTTGCCGCGCTTTGCGAGCGTACGAAGGACGGCGCCCCTTCCCCCTCCGCACCCCAGGTGGTGTCGAGAAAGCGCCACGCCTGCCACACTGTGCGAGCGTACGACGGATAGCGCCCCCACCTCCAGCGCACCCCTTTTGGAGTTGACAAACTGCCACGCGTGCCACGCTTTGCGAGCGTACGACGGGTAGCGCCCCCACCTCCAGCTCACCCCCTTGTGATGTCGAGACACTGCCACGCGTGCCACGCTTTGCGAGCGTACGACGGATAGCACCCCCACCTCCAGCGCACCCCTTGCGGTGGCGATGAATTTCCACGCGTGCCACGCTTTGCGAGCATGCGGCGGATAGCGCTCCCAATTCCGGCGTACCCCTTTTGGTGTCGAGAAACTGCCGCGCCTGCCACGCTTTGCGAGCGTACGACGGGTAGCGCCCCCACCTCCAGCGCACCGCGTGTGGGGTCGCGAAACCGCCAGGCTTGCCAGCTTCTGCGGGAGTACAACAGATAGCGCCCCCACGTCCAGCTCACCCCCTTGTGATGTCGAGAAACTGCCACGCCTGCCACGCTTTGCGACCGTACGATGGATAGCGCCCCCACACGCCTGCCACGCTTTGCGAGCGTACGACGGATAGCGCCCCCACCTCCAGCTCACCCCCTTGTGATGTCGAGAAGCTGCCACGCCTGCCTCGCTTTGCGAGCGTACGACGGATAGCGCCCCCACCTCCAGTGCACCTTTTGTGGCGTCGAGGAACTGCCACGCCTGCCAACCCCCTGTGTTGTTGAGAAACTGCCACGCCTGCCACGTTTTGCGAGCGTACGACGCATAGCGCCCCCAGCTCCAGCGGACCCCTTCTGGTGATTCTGATGTCAAGAAGGTGCCACCTCCAGCGCACCCTTTTTTGGTGTCGAGGAAGTGTCGCGCCTGCCCGCCCGTTAGGGCCGATCCGCCCGATATACCCGCTGGGTGCTGCCACGTACTTTCTGCTCCTAGCCGCCCTTGAGCTACGTGCTCTCTTGCTCCATCGTCCTCCTTTTCTCTTGTCCCTTCCTTCCATCCGTCCTCTCTTCCCTTGCTTCAGGGGCTGCACGAAATACACGCTGCAGGCAAGGAAGACATACCCCCAGGGGCGTTCGATCGAAGACGAGGAGAACGGTATCGAGGGTTTGGGATACACGTGTTGGGTGACACGCGAGCAGATAAGAACGATCAGTCTCTAATTGTTTTTGATTTTGTAAACCAGAGACCAGGGGCACAGTTTGGTGACACTTCACTTGTCTTTGTAAACAACACACAGAGCGTGTTCTACCCCTGCTGGCGGAAAACCGGGGGGGACCACTGGGGATTCCCAACCCGTCCCCCCCCTCGAAAACCGGGGGGGGTCACTACCGGTTCGAACCCCTCCCAGCCACCCCCAGGCCATCATGAAAGGGGGGGGGGGTCACTACCGGTTCGACCCCCCCCCCTCGAAAAGGGGGGAGGGTCATTACCGGTTCGTTTGTATTTTTCGTCGACAATCGCCCTGTAGGGGGACACGCCCGATGAAAGAGGAGGGGGGAGGGCGGAGTATCGGGTGCCCAGAGATCGAGCGCATTGAAAAAATCGCGACGGAGGCTTTCCTCAGTTTTCGGCTTCTATATATAGTGCCTTACCGGGCCCCGGGACCTTCAAAAAACGACTCAGGATGCAAAACCGGTCCTGGGGAGGGGGTCTATAGACTTCCGGGGACCCCGCATTGAAAAAATCACGACACCGGATCGATCTGGGTGGGGCCGGGACGGGGATACTGTAAGCCCTGCGAGCGCCGGGCCGGAACGCTCTGAGGAGGCCGCGGCGCCCGAGAAGTCCTCCAGAGCCCCCAGGTCTCAGAGAAATTCTCGAGTGATCTTCAACCGAGTTCAATTCTCGTCCTGGCTCCATCTTCGAAGGCGGAGTACGAGCGGGCGGAGTTGAACGGGGAAGGCGTGGGGGTGGCAGGATGGAGGAAGAGGAGGGCGTGAGGATGGAGCAGTGGGTGAAGGAGGAGGAGGGAGCGAGGGGGACGAAGAGGAGGAGGGGGATCCGTAGCCAGCTCGGCTCGAGCAGTTGCGGCTGGAGCTGGAGGCATCCCCACGGCAGGGGCGGGGCTCGCCCCTCATGCCCGTCACCGTGGACCAGGTTTTGGCGGGAAAGGGTACGAGCGCATCCTGGGACTCCATGGCCGTGCCGAGCTTCGACAAGATGCCCGTATACTTGTCGGAGAGAACGGAGCAGAGCAGCGTGGAGGATTGAGGAACAAACAACGGCACAAGCATAACATTGCAGAGTTCTGTGCGGATCTCTCGGATCTGGTTTGGGACCCCCTCCTTGGCGCGCGGCGCGCCCCAGGGGCGGCGTCGGAGTCGCCGTCCAGGGGGGGGCCAGTGGAACTCTGCGCAGAGCTCCAGGAAATCATGCTCATGCCGTGTTGTGCTCCTGGAGGAGGACCCCTCGGAACCCTCCCGGCAAGGGCCGGAGGACACTTGGCGAGTGTGCGCGAACGAAGAGGAGGACGGCGAGGCCGACGTCGCGACGAATGTCCAGAGGCTCCTGCGGGGCCAGAGGCGCTTGGAGCAGCTGCTCACGCGCCTGGTGAGTGGGGAGGGGGTGCCTCCGGGGGGGCCAGAAAGCAACTCGTGTCCTTGGGGGGAGGAGAAGGCACCGATACCGCTGCTCGTCGCGGAGGGTTCTCGTCGCCACGGCCAGGTTATCCCCGAAGTTCTAAGGCAGAACGCGCCCCAGGAGCAGTCTGTGCGATTGTGTATTAGCGGTATGGATACCTTGTTGGTCCCTTAGTCTTCGTCGTGGTCGGCCTCCGAGTGTTGCGGGCTCGTGCGGGGTCATCCCTGAGCCGACGCCCTGGCGCACGCAGGGTGCCAGTCAAAAACCATAATAAGGACGCGCGAGTTTGCTTGGGGTACCCTTGCGTCCTTGCTCTTCCTTGCTTTTGCGTCCTTGAGGTTGTCGTCGTCCGCCGCCCCAAAAATCTCAACTTCGGCTTCCAAGGGTCTTGCGTCCTTGCCGCGCGTCTTTGTTAGGGTTTTTGACTGTCACTGAGTCTGGTTGAGGGCGTGGGGGGCCTCCACGACTGCGCCTGTGGTCTCTTGGCAGGCTGGTGTCGGGCGTTGGGCTTGCCAGCGTGCTGCCGCCTGGGGGGGCTGGCGGGGATACGCGAAGCGTCGGCAAGCAGGTGGGGGAACCGATTCCAGGCGCGCGAGTCGCGGAGGGGGCTGAGTGGAGCATAGGCTTAAGTTCTGCAGAAGTGCTAGGAAGTAGGGCCGAGTTACTCACTACTCAGAGCAACCAAATTTTCTTTGTGAGACTGAATGCGCAACTTAGCTCGCTGCCCAAAAGAAGACACAGACTTATAAGTTGCACAAGTGTAGTTACAACATCAAGCAAACACTTACATCACTTTCAGAATTCTTACACATCTTGCGCCACTTACGCCATAACAGACGTAACTTCAGCCCAGCCACAGCTAGTCCTCAATTAGCACACGAAGCTCCAGCCTCCTAAGTTGGGCTCTCGGAGCGGACTGTCTGCCTGCCCAGGAAGAGAGTTGACGGGCGGGAGTAACACCAGTCAGCCCAGGGTGCCAGCCCAGGGAACCCTTCGTGAGCCGCGCGGAGCAGAGCCTGCCTTGTTCAGGGTGTTGACGGCGCTGGACAAGTCCAGCTTCACAAACACCTTTCCCCGGTCCCCGAGGTGGCGGGTCGCAGAGGAGAGTTGCGGACGAGACTCTCGTATCCATACACGCGAGGCCTCCTAGATGGGGTCAGAGCAGATGGGGTCGGAGGATCGCGCCGCATCGCCGATGCATCGCCGATGCGGCTCGACGTCGACGTCGCCGATGCATCGCCGACGTCGACGATGCATCGCCAATGCATCGGCGATGCATCGCCGATGCATCGACGATGCGGCGCGATCATCCGACCCCATCTGCTCCGACCCCATCCAGGAGGCCCGACGAGACTCCTCGTACCCATACGCGCCGGCCGTTGGAATCACGTGTTCCTGGGCCCCCAGGTCCCAATCTGCTTTTTTGGGGCGCCCTCCTGCTGCCAGGGCCGACGGGTTCCCTTTTGTTCCCCTCCTGCTCAGGGGGCGGGCGGGGGCCCAGTCCAGTGCCAACGCCCTTCTACGTCAGGTGTCTGCCCACTTCTTCGGACTGGCGTGTATGCGCTGCGTCTTGGAGCTTCTGGCTCCCCTGCCAGGAAGCCAGAGGCGCAGGGGTTGCGGACAGAAATCCAGCCCCTGGAGGCTCGTTTGTTCTCCGTATCCACTGCGCCTCGGCCGCGCAGTGGATAGGATATGGACATACATCTTGCCCGCAAGAGAGAACAAGTGAGAAGAATAGAGCGAGAGAACCGACGAGCAACCATCAGGCATGAACATGAACTTCTGGAGCTCCGCGTGGATTCTTCGGATCGGCCCAGATTCTTCGGATCGCCGATCCAAGGCATGCGCGCAGAGCTTCGCAACTCTGTCATGCAGCGCTTTCCGGATGCTAGCGTTATGTCGGGCCTGTCCCCCTACAGGTGGATGTTCGACGAAAAATGCAAAATACCAAAAAATCCCCAAACAGGCACACAAATAGTAACAAAAATAGTCCCCTGATTATTTTTGTTGATTATTCTTTGATTCTTTGGGGGGCATCTTTCATTTGTCGTCGAACATCCCCCTGTAGGGGGACAGGCCCGACTTAACACTAGCGAAGGCGTGTGCGTGTGTGTGTGTGTGTGCGTGCGTGTTGCCACGGCCGCCCACCGCGCCCTGGCCCTGCTGCGGCCCGGCTGCTGCCGCCCGCCGGCTTCTCTCGTCGTCGGCTTCTTCGGCATCTGCGCGCCCCTCTTTTTCAAGCAGTGGCGAAGCGTCCTGGCTCGCCTATAGCCCTGCAGCGCGGGTTTTAATGCATGTTCCGCGTTCGGACCATGCATTGGAAATAAAGGGTTGAGTAATAAATACAAGGATGAGTTTATGCATTAATGCATACATTAATTAATCATGGGTTAACATTCCTATATATTAAAAGTCATGTGTATTAAACACTGCCCTGTGCCAAACAAAGTTCTAAGAACTTTTTGTGGTTTCCACGCAATGTTCTCATAACATTTCTGGTTGGGACTGCCTTGTTTTAGCACATCGGGTTAATGTTCTAAGAGAACATTGTTATTTGTTATTGGAACATTCGCGGGTTCTAAGAACATGTTGTGGTATGACTGTAGGAATGCCGGGATGGTCGGTACTTGCTCAATCTTTCTTCTCAGCCTCCCCCCTCCTTCCTTGCACGCTGGCCAATTCGCTCGTTAGTGCCCCGACCTAGCGGTTACGCTGGTGCGGATTTCGCCGCCTCGCCGCTGACGAAAAAGTGTGTGTGTGTGTGCGTGTGTGTGTGTGTGTGTGTGTGTTCAGCACACATGGTCGACGCTGACAAACGGGGTCGTCTGCGCACGGACACTGGCGAGTGGTCTGCCCTCGTACGGTCGCGCGTGAGCGACCTCGTTTTCAGCATGGCGTGCCGCGTTGGTGACCCGCGTACGCCGCGGCGAAAGATCCTTACGCCATCTTGCGCAGGATACAGTCGGGGCCCTGACGAAGGAACCCTTGTCGCTGGGGAGGGGCTCCGCGTTCCTTACGTGTGCCGCAGCTTGCCTCAGGTGTTCCCTATGTTTTCGATCGGACGTCGAAGTTTAACTCATGGAACAAAAAGGGGCCTCGTTCCTTATTTTCTTTGTCGTCGTTCACTGTAAGGCACTGAGACGAGACAGGTGGTACTTGGGTCATCGGCTGTCCGCGTCTCTCTCCTCCTCCCCTCCCTCTCCAAACGAATGCGCCGAACAAAAAGAGCATGTTCTCGGGAGGACACTTCCGCCAGACCGTCTCTGGGTGTGTGATGAGCCTGCCCGTCCTTGTCCTCGGGCTCATCGTCCTTCCCCTCGTGCCCTTCGTCTTTGTCCTCGTATTTCGGCTGGCCTTTGGCCTCCAGCGCGCGCTGCACGGTTTCCCCCTGGGCCGTAGGCGACCCGAGGAGGAGGAGGTGGAGGAGGAAGTGTCGGGGTAGGACGAGATGGAGGAGAGATAGGAGGAGGAGGATGAGGAAGAGGAGGAGGAGGAGGATGAGGAGCAGGGAGGAGGATGAGAAAGAGGAGGAGGAGGAAGAGGAGGAGGAGGGCCTGTTGACCTCCGAGGGCAAAGTGGCTTGTTGGCCTCCGAGGTGCACGAGGAGCAGGCGGTGACCCGGTCGCCTACCAACGGCGAGACTGTGCGCGCGGCGGTCGGGAGGAGCGGAGGGACGGCGAGCGCGGCCCCGTTCGAGGTCCCGCAGGTGCGCGACGGCTGGCAGGGTGCCGGGGGGAGGAACGAGCCGCATAGACAGACGAGGCTTCCGTGGTGAGAGCAGCGTACTGCCCTCGCAATTCCGTCTCCGGATTGCTCTGCGTCGATTCGCGTCTGGCAGATGTAGCCTCGCGCGCGTCGATTCAGCGCTGATCAGCGTCGATTCGCAAGAGGGAAGATTCGCTTCGGTTTGGCGTTGATCGGCTCCGCATCACAAGAAGCAGCAAGATGGTATGGGAGGCTCTAACGAGTTGCCGCAGGAATGGGAGGCGTCCGATGATGATGATGATGATGATGATGATGATGATGATGATGATGATGATGATGATGATGAGGATGATGATGATGATGATGCTGTTGATGGTGATGATGATGATGATGGTGATGGTGATGGTGATGGTGATGGTGGTGATGATGCTGATGCTGGTGATGGTGATGATGATGATGGTGATGGTGATGATGATGCTGATGATGATGCTGATGATGATGATGATGATGATGATGATGATGGTGATGGTGATGGTGGTGGTGATGATGATGCTGGTGATGATGATGGTGATGGTGATTGTGAATCGTGGTGGTGATGATGATGGTGATGCTGGTACTGATGATGATGATGCTGATGGTGATGAGGATGGTGATGGTGACGGTGATTTTGGTGGTGATGATGCTGCTGCTGGTGATGATGATGATGATGACGATGGTGATGGTGATGGTGATGGTGATGATGCTGTTGATTATGATGATGATGATGGTGATGATGCTGATGATGGTGATGGTGATGATGATGGTGGTGGTAATGGTGGTGATGACGATGCTGGTGATTATGGTGATAGTGATGATGCTGCTGATGGTGATGGTGGTGGTGGTGACGATGATGATGCTGGTGATGATGATGGTGCTGATTATGATGATGGTGATGGTGATGTTGGTCGTGATGGTGATGATGCTGTTGATGATGATGCTGGTGATGATCATGCTGGTGATGATGCTGATCATGATGATGTTGATGATGATGCTAGTGATGATGATGATGATGATGATGATGATGATGATCATTGTGATGGTGATGGTGATGGTGATGTTGATGATGGTGGTGATGATGGTGATGATGCTGGTGGTGGTGATACTGACGATGGTGATGATGCTGATGATGATGATGGCCATGATGATGCTGGTGATTATGATGATGATGATGATGATCATCATGATGATGATGCTGACGATGACGATGATGTTGATGATTATGATGATGATGATGATGATGAACTTGATGGTGATGATGATGATGATGATGATGATGATGATGATGATGATGATGATGATGATGATGATGATGATGATGATGATGATGATGATGATGATGATGATGATGGTGGTGGTGGTGGTGGTGATGATGATGATGAACATGATGATGAACTTGATGGTGATGATGATGATGATGACGACGACGGCCTCTCCTTCGAGGAGCGATCGAGCAGGCATCCCTGTGGGCGGCGGGAGCTCGCGGGACGAGAGCGCGCTGGGCCGCCTCCGCCGCCCGGGGGGGCCCGCGGAGGCCGGGGGCGCACCCCTCGGGGCTCGGGATCAAGCAGTGGCGGCGAAGCGTCCAGGCTCGCCCATAGGCCCGCCAAACAATGTTCTACGAGCCTTTTGTGGTGCCCACGAGATGTTCTTAGAGTCGGGGCCCTGAAGAAGGAACCCTTTTCGTTGGGGAGGGGCTCCGCGTTCCTTAGGTGTTTCACAGCTTGCCTCAGGTTTTCCTTATGTCTCCGATAGGAAATCGAAGTTTAACTTATGGTAAAAAGGGGCATCGTTCCCTAATTAGGGTTCCTTAGGTCAACGCCCCGACTGTATAGGCCCACCAAGCAATGTTCTAAGAGCCTTTTGTGGTGCCCGCGAGATGTTCTTAGAGCATTTCTGGCTGGGCCTGTCTTGTCTGAACACATCGGGTGCATGTTCTGAGAGCAGTTTTTTTGTTCTGGAAGCGTTCTAAGAAGATGTCGTGGTAGGCCTATAGGAATGCCGGGACGGTCGGCCCCTGCTCAAAACGGTGGTCAGTCAGAGCGTAGGCTCTTGCAGGATCCTGCACGGCCAGGGGCGCACTGACCCGGGCTCGGGTGCAGGATCCTGCAGGACCCTGCAGGATCTTTCGCACTGACCTGGGTTTGGATACAGGATCTTGCGGGACCTTGCAGGATTCCGCAAGGCCTGAGTGACCCGGGTTTGGATTGACCCAGGTCAGAAGATCCCCGAACCCCATAGGAGATGGCGGTGGTCTTGGATCGGAGGCACCTCGCAGGGCTCGTTGCGATTCCTCCGGTTCGATGCGATCCGACTTCGACGGATTCTGTTTCAGATGTGGTTCGACTCCGGCTGCCGATGCGGGCTCCGATTTCTTGTGGGGCGCACGCGAGGTTTCGAGGGTCGAAGTTTCGAGGCTTCGAGGAGCGAGGATCCAGGCTTCCAGGTTCGAGGGACGAGGAGCGGGGTTTCGAGCAGCGAGTTTTCGAGGTTTCCACGAGCGAGCATCCAGGCTTCAAGGTTCGATGATCGAGGAGCGAACTTTCGAGGATCGAGGATCGCTGGACCTTGGGTTCGCCGACGCTTCTTGACGAGCCCGTCCTGGAGTCTGACGGTCCAGTTTTCGTGGGATGTGCGCGCGGGAAGTTCCTGTCAAATTTGAAAATGGGTCTGGTCATTTTCGCTGCGGCCGCGTCCAGCATCCGAGTTCCCCGAACCCGAGTCTTACGTCTCCCCGTTTGGAGCCCGCCAAACTATCCAGAGGAAGCGCGATCCGCATGCACGCCGGTCGCTGAAAATTGTTATTCCCTACCTAGGCTCTGCCTAGAAGGGTTCTTACTCTCTATCTTAAAGGGGCCAGGCAGTGTAAATCGCCCCGGGCGGTTCCCCCAGGATCCGCCCCGCGGTTCCCCCAGTTACGTCCCCTTAGCTTAGCGTTGCTTATCTCATCTGAGCTTAGCATAGCGCAGCGCAGCGCTGCATTAGCATAGCATAGCATAGCATAACATAGCCAAGCATACCATAGCTTATCATAGTATAACGCAACATAGTTTAGCATAGCATAGCATAGCGTAGCATAGCATAGCATAGCATATCATATCGCAGGTTAGCATAGCATATCATAGCTTAGCATAGCACAGCGCGTTATGACATATCATAGCTTCGCATAGCATAGCATAGCATATCATATCATAGTGCAGCATATCATAGCATAGCATAGCGCAGCATAGCATGGCATGGCATGGCATAGCATCGCATAGCATAGCAACTAATGCTTATTTCCTAGGGGGTCCAACTTCTAGGTCGGGTCGCACTGGGGTAATTTTTGGACTCCCAGATCCCAATCTACTCCAGGTGCCTTCCTATTTCAAGCGCCGATCCGCTTCTGCTGTCTTGCTCGTATCTTGGAGGGGCCGAACCCAATCTTCTCTATATCCGCCCTCCTGCTTCATGACTTGTTGCCCCGGCCGACGTGCACAACTGTGGGCGCGGCCCGCAGCGTTGTCGACCGAGAGACCATGTGGAAACGTCGCGGTCGGCGTGTTCCAGGGGGAGCGCCTCGATTCCGGCCAAGACCTGGGGCCTCCGAGGGGCCGAATTGTCGCTCGCTGCCCCGGGGCGCGGGGACGAGATGGGGCTCCGCGGTGCGGATTTTGTTGCCGCGCTGTTGCTGTCGTCGTCCTCGCCCGCGACCCGAACGCGATCCACCCCGCCCCACCCCCCGTGCCCGCCCCCCTCACTCTTTCGCGTCGGGTTCGTGTCGTGTCGACTGGCGGCGACCGCGCCGCTGGCGTTCAGCGTTGCATGCCGCCGGCGACCCAGAGTCGGTCGACGTTGGACGATCTGACGCTTCGGAAAGGGCCGATCGTTCAAGATTGAACGACCCCGGCGGTGTCAGGAACCAATGCCGAAGTCGGCACGGCACGAATCTGTCTACGTAACTGACAAGTACGTAGTACCCCGCAAGAGCCGATGCGGCGGATACCCTCGAACACTTACGGTGGGGGCGTTGGTCAAGGAATTCGCCCAGGAGATTTCAGGCGTTGGTGGGTTTCTTATCTGATGAGGGCGGCGGTGATGCCCATTGCCAGTTCAAGATGGGAGTTTCACCGGCTTCTAGAGCTTGGACTCCTTATCCAATGGTTCCTTGTCGAATCCCCTCGCCGTAGCGGGTACGGCGGAGACTCCCCAACGATCACAGTCGGACTGAGGTAGAAGATCGAGGTCGATTCGGGGAGGGTACCCTAGTGTTCTTCGTGCTAGTTGGATGTTATTTAATCGCTTCGCTCATTTTGCCGGCCCTGGAGTTCTCTTGAGGACCTTTTGGGGGCCTCTTGGGGACCTCTTGGGAGTCTCTTGGGGCTCCTTGGCGGTGTCTTGGGGCCCCCAGGGTCTCTTGGGGGGCTCTTGGGGGCCCCTTGGGGCGGGAGGGGGGGTAGTCGATTGCGGCTCCCCCCTCGGAGGCCACGATCCTCGTGAGCGGTGTCGAAAAATTGCCCAGTCCGGCATCTCTGACCTGGACCTGCCAGGACTTTGCCGGGACTTTGCTGGGGTACTTTTCGCCCAGAGACCCCCAGGGGCCGCCCCGCGCGCGCGAAGTAGAATATCGTTAACCAGTTACCGGGGATCTTAGCACGCCTCTGGCCCGTTGGGCCGGCGAATTGTGCATCTTTGGGAGGGTACCCTTGGATGTTCTGTCTGCTTTGGACGGCGAAGGGTCTCGTGCTCTTGAGGGACGCTCTTATGGCCTGGGTCCGACCTTACGGGTTACACTTAACGGGCGAAGAACGGTATAACATAATTTTTGCGCCGTCGGGGACACCTGCCCCAGGGCGGCTGGAAAGTCTATACCCATGCGGTGGCACTGTGGGGGTGTAAACTTTCCAGCCGCCCAGGGGCAGGTGTCCCCGACGGCGGAGAGTTTACTTCCTACCGTTCTTCGCTCGCCGATACACCCCCGAACAATTTCTGCTTGTTCCGGGGTGCGCGCAGCTCTCCTGCATTCGGCGCCGCGGCCCCCGCTGCGGCGCGCTCCGCGCGCACCTGCGCCGCCTCCCCGGCGCGCGCGCGGGGCGGCCCAGGGGCGGCGCTGGAGGCGTCGCCAGCTGGGTTCCAGCGCGGAGCCAAGCGCTCCTCCCGCGCTTGTGCCAACGACGGGCAGCCTCCTGGGCGGTCAGGAGATGGTGCGCCCGATGCCCTGGACTGCGCCCGTGCGGGGCGGCTTTTTTTTTGTTTGCTGCCTTCTTGCTTGCAGGGGCTGTCTTGTTTGGCTCCTCCTGGGTAATGGTGGGGGGAGCTCTTGGCCCAGGCCGGTATTCTTCTCAGAGAATATCGTTTCCTTAGTTTGCCCTTCGCTAATTCTGACCCCCGGAAGTCTGACCTACATGAGCAGGCGAGTGAGATCCGCGTGGAGCTCCTACAGTTTACGTTTATGCATGTTTGTCCTGCCGCTAGGTACGGACGATGACCTCAGGCTGGCGTGTGAGACGGAGCGTGCCAACTTCGTAGTCGACGACCTGACGGACGACATGACGAAGGACCCGGGGTCCTCATTTCTATTTCCCGGCACCTTCCGCGCCGTGTTGTCGAACCCTGGTCCGGACAAAACGTGCCTGGTTTGGAGCCCATCGTCTCGCCTGAGACTCTTCATGGACCTCCTCAGCGTGGTTGTACTCGCGTACGACGTGCTCTCCTTGCCCTACCTGCTCGCTTTTGAGATGCCCCAGAGGGGGCTGATAATGCAGCTGTCGGTAGTATCAGTCGTCTTCTGGACGCTCGACCTGGCCTTCCGTTTCCGAACAGGCTTCTGGCACCAAGGGCGCCTCGAGATGAGACCGCGGGCGATCGCCCACCAATATTTAAGGAGCGCTTTTGCGATTGACTTGTCCCTGGTCCTCCTCGACCTCATCGCGATTGCATTAAGCTATCTGGCGGACAACCAGCCTGGTGAGATGGACGTGTTCAGACTGTGGCGGATTGGCAAGATTACGCGAGTCATGCGCTGCATGAGCTTTCTCAGGCTGAGGTCGGTTGCGGACATCATGGAGCGAGTGTCCCAGCGCAGTAAGATTCTACAAGCTACCAGCATGGTCATATACGACGTCGTCAGGATCGTGTTCATGATACTGTGGCTCAACCACGTCATCGCTTGCATGTGGGTTGGTATCGGGAAAAACGCCTCGAGCGACACGGGCCTGTCGTGGCTCGATCTGCCGCTAGGTGGCCCGGAGTACGAGCCGTACAGGTCCGCTGGAGATCCGTATTTGTATTCCACGGCCTTCCACTGGGCCTTGACGCAAATGACGCCGGGCTCCATGCAGGTCTTCCCAGTGAACTTCACCGAGCGCGTCTTCAATTCCGTCGGCCTCGTCTTCGGCGTTCTCGTGTTCTCGACGCTGATATCATCGATATCCTCCTCAGTGACCCAGTTCAAGATCGGCATTGCGAGCAACACGCACCAGATGGACAAGCTGAACCGTTTTCTTAGGAAGGTCGATGTCAACCCCTCGCTCGCGATTCAGGTGCGCAAGCAGGTGCGGGACAAGATGAAGTATCAGAAGCCACTGGTGAGCAAGGACGTGGAGGCGCTCGATCTGCTCCCCCTCTCTATGCAGGTGTCCCTGCAGATGGAGCTGTGTCGCCGACTTAGTGTTCTTGAGAGCGTTGGGGGTTGGGTGTTGTCTGTCTTTTTTGTTGTTCCCCCGTTCCCCGTTCTTCGATCCTGGCCTTACCGAGGCTCGTTCAGATCGGCACCCCAACAGTTGGGTGACAGACAGGCGGCATTGTGATACGTGCGAGCGTTATTCCCCCAAAAGTGCTTTGGGCTTTTGATTGGAGAGGCCTGACGGCCGGTGCCGCCGACCCTGATCGAAAGGGCTAGGAGTGGGGGGAGGAAGCGGAGGATGAGGAGGAGGAGGAGGAGGAGAAGGAGGAGGAGCAGGAGGAGGAGGAGGAGGAGGATGAGGAGGAGGAGGAGGAGAAGGAGGAGGAGGAGGAGGCCCCAAAAAGCGCTTTGGGCTTTTGATTCCTCTTCTGAGGAACTGGACCTGCCTGCCAGTCCGGCGGCTATGTCGTCGTCGCAGCAGCTCCATCCCCGCGTCGCCGCTGCCCGTCGTCCGGGCCCGGCCGGCGGACGGACGGCCACGTGGTCGCCGTGGCCGCCCGAGGCCCGTCGCCGCCGCCCCTCTGCGCGACATAGATTTAATAACGTACACCCTAGGCGATGCTTACGAAAACTTACGTTTTCGGCCAGAGTCTCGATGATTCTTAACGTTTCGATGTGAATCCTAAGATTTTGATAGCAACGTTGGGTTGTTATTCAAGTTCTGAGCCTATGATTTTTTTAACCCATGATTTCTTAAGCATTTCGCAGGGTGTAGATCGCATCACGTCGATTCTCCTTTCTAAAATATGAATAGACACTACCCCGCCGGGAATGATCGATCCCCCTCTTCGCATTGCAACTTGCATAGGATCCTGCCCCATCGTCCATCCTACGTGTGAGTTCATACTATCCCAGCCAGGCCGGTATCGACGCTTCTCGCCATCACCTGCAACGGATGCTAAGCGCGCACACTCGTTTATCCCGAATCATAAGTTTTCAAGAATCCCTTGCAACAAATGGGACGAAGTGCACACGCGCGCGTCGTCGCGCGCGCATGCCGAAATCCTTCAACAACCTTCTTTTTTCTGAAGGATTTCAAACTCGAGCTCCCAACAAACATACAAAAACAGTTGGTTTCGCAACACTGATGTTCTACAAACTGCTTACACGCGCGCTCTTGCGAAATCTTAAGAAAACCACAGGTACCAAACGGGCTTCGCGCGCGCATGTCGAAATCCTTCGATCGCCCTTGCGCGCGTGCCGCCGCGATATTCCTCTGCAACAAATGGAACGAAGGGCACGCGCGCGCGTCGTCGCTCGCGCATGCCGAAATCCTTCAACAACTTTCGGTTTCGGAAGGATTTCAAACTCGAGTTCCCAACACACATACAACAACATTTGGTTTTGCAACAATGATTTCCTACAACAAACTTACACGCGCGCACTTGCGAAATCTTAAGAAAACCATAGGTACCAAACGGGCTTCGCGCGCGCGCATGTCGAAATCGTTCGATCGCCCATGCGCGCGTGCCGCCGCGAGATTCCTCTGCAACAAATGGGACGAAGTGCACGCGCGCGCACGTCGTCGCGCGCGCATGCCGAAATCCCTCAAAAACCTTCCGTTTCGGAAGGATTTCAAAATCGAGTTCCCAACACATATACAGAAACACATGGTTTCGCAACACGGAGTTTCAACGAAAGAGTGCGCGTTCGCGCTCTTGCATCGTCGTCGTCGTCGTCGCCGGCCTCCCTCCTCCCTCGTCGTCGTGGTCGTTGTCGTCGTCCTCTGTCTTTCCTCGTCGTCGTCGTCGTCGTCCTCTTTGGCGTCGTCGTCGTTTCCGTCGTCGGCGTCACCGTTGTCGTCCTTCCTCCTCCCTCGTCGTCGTCGTCCGTCGTCGACGTCACGTCGTCGTCCCTCCTATTTCGTCGCCGCCGCCGTCGTCGTCGTCGTCGTCTTCCCTCCTCCCTCGTCGTTGTCGTCGTCGGCGTCGCCGTCCTCCTTCCTTCTTCGTCCTTCGCGTCGTCGCCGTCCTCCCTCCTCCCTCGTCGTTGTCGTCGTTGTCGCAGAGGTCGTCCTCCCTCCTCCCTCGTCGTCGTAGGCGTCGGCGACGTCGTCGTCGTCTTCGTCGTCGTCGTCATCGGCGTCGTAATCGTCGTCGTCGGCGGCGAGGTCGTCGTCGTCGTCCTCGTCCTCGTCGCCGTCGTCGTCGCCGTCGTCGTCGGCGTCGTCATCGTCGTCGTCGGCGTCGGCGGCGTCGTCGTCGTCGGTGTCGTCGTCGTCGTCGTTGTCGTCGTCGTCGAAATCGTCGGAGACGTCGTCGGTGTCGTCGTAGTCGTCGTCGGCGTAGTTGTCGTGGTCGTTGTCGCTGTCATCGTCGGCGTCGTTGTCGTTGCCAAGTGCCATCTGGTACCCATCGTCACAGTCTTAAGAAGAAGTCTTGCGACCAAGTTGCGGGTGGGAGGGTGGGATGTTTGCACGTGCAGTGGAGAGGACAGCTTCAAGACAGCCAAAGTCAATTGCACCACATAGGTTGCGCCACATTTACTGCACCACATAGGCTGCACATCGTAGATTGCGTAACCCAGTACTGCACAACTTAGATTGCACTACATGTATTGTACCACATAGGTTGCTCAAAACATATTGCCAAGCATAGAATGGCCCATGTATATTGCACACCATACAGTGTACAACCTAGTAGATCGCAGCACCGCGTATATTGCACACCATAATTTGCACGACGTGCATTGCACATGCTAGGTTCTCCTTTCCAAAAAGAGAATAGGTTCTACCACCCTCCCTCCCGAGATTAAAGACCTCTCGGGGACCGATGAAAAACACACATGATTCTGACCCAATGAATCTTACTTGTGAGTTCATACTATCCCAGCCCAGCCGGTGTCGTCCCCCCCCCGCCATGCTCTGCAACAAATACTAAGCGCGCGCACTCGTTTATCGAACATCCTAAGTTTTCAAGAACCCCTTGCAACAATTTAGACGAAATGTACACGCGCGCGTCTTCGCACGCGCATGCCGGAATCCTTCAAAAACCTTCGGTTTCGGGGGGATGTCAAACTCGAGTTCCCAAAATACATTCAAAAGCACAAGGTTTCGCAACATGGGTGTTCAAAAAATTGCTTACGCGCGCGCTCTTGCGAAATCGTAGGCAAACCATAGATCTCTCACGACTTTCACAACATGCTACCAAACGGGTTTCGCGCGCGCATGTCGAAATCTGTCGAACGCCCTTGCGCGTGTGCCGTCGCGAGAATTTTCTGCAACAAATGGGACGAAGTGCACGCGCGCGCGTCGTCGCGCGCGCATGCAGAAATCTGTCAAAAACCGTCCTCGGAAGGATTTCAAAATCGATTGTCCAGAACACATACAAACACACACGGTTTCGCAGCGTGGATTTTCACCAACGTGCGCGCGCGCGCGCTCTTGCGTCGTCGTCGTCGTCGCCGGCCTCCCTCCTCCCTCGTCGTCGTGGTCGTTGTCGTCGTCGTCGTCGCCGTCGTCGTCCTCTGTCTTTCCTCGTCGTTGTTGTCGTCGTCCTCTTTGGCGTCGTCGTCGTCGTTTCCGTCGTCGTTGTCGCCGTGGTCGTCCTTCCTCCTCCTTTGTCGTTGTCGTCGTCCGTCGTCGGCGTCTCGTCGTCGTCCCTCCTATTTCGTCGCCGTCGTCGTCGTTGTCTTCCCTCCTCCCTCGTCGTTGTCGTCGTGATCGTCGCCGTCCTCCCTCCTTCGTCGTTCGCGTCGTCGCCGTTCGTCGTCCTCCCTTGTCGTTGTCGTCGATGTCGCCGTGGTCGTCCTTCCTCATCCCTCGTCGTCGTCGTCGGCGTCGGCGACGTCGTCGTCGTCGTCGCCTTCGTCGTCGGCTTTCGTCGGCATCATCGTCGGCGTCGTCTTCCCCGGCGTCGGCGTCGGCGTCGTCGTCGTCGTCGGCGTTGTCATCGTCGTCGTCGTCGGCGTCGAGTTCGTCGTCGTCGGTGTCGTCGTCGTCGTCGTCGTTGTCGTCGTCGTCGAGGTCGTCGGGGACGTCGTCGGTGTCGTCGTAGTCGTCGTCGGCCCAGTCGTCGTGGTTGTTGTCGCTGTCATCGTCGGCGTCGTTGCCGTTGCCAAGTGAAATTTGGTACCCGCCGTTACGGTCTTAACAGATCTTGCGACCAAGTTGCGGGTGGGAGGGTGGGATGTTTGCACGAGCAGTGGAGAGGACAGCTTCAAGACAGTCAAAGTGAGTTCTCCTTTTCGAAAAAAAGAATAGACTCTACCCCCCCCCGGCGTCATCGGTCCCCCTTTCGGGTATGTAAGTCGCATATGATTTTAACCACATGCCCATCCTAAACATGAATTTACACTGTCCCCGGGGTGCCGGGACCGGCCCCCCTGAGGTCCGGTTCCCTTGTTAAAAAAAACAATGCGCGGGGACAGTTTTTGTTCTAACATAAGACTTTGTCACGAATCCCTTGCCCAAAATTGGACGAGGTGCACACGCGCGCGTCGTCGCGCGCGCATGCCGAAATCCTTCAAAAGCCTTAGGTGTCGGAAGGATTTCGCAATTGGGTTTCCAAAAAACATACAAGAACACAAGGTTTCGCAACACTGATTTGCAAAAAAAGCTTACGCGCGAGCTCTTGCGAAATCTTGGGACAACCATAGGTGTGTCAAGATTTGTGCAAAATGCTACCAAACGGGCTTCGCGCGCGCATGTCGAAATCTGTCGGACGCCTTTGCGCGTGTGTCGTCGCGAGAGTCCTGTGCAACAAATGTGACGAAGTGCAGACGCGCGCGGCGTCGCGCGCGTATGCCGAAATCCTTCAAAGCCCATCGGTGTCGGAAGGATTTCAAAATCGTGTGTCCGAAAAACCTACAAAAACAAAAGGTTTCGCAACACGGATGTTCAACAAATGCGTGCGCGCGCGCTCTTGCGTCGTCGTCGTCGTCGTCGCCGTCCTCCCTCCTCCCGCGTTGTCGTCGTCGTCGCCTACGTCGTCCTCTGTCGTTCCTCGTGTTCGTCGTCGTCGTCCTCTTTGGCCTCGTGGTCGTTTCCGTCAACGTTGTCGCCGTGGTCGTCCTTCTGCCTCCTCCCTCGTTGTCGTCGTCGTCCGTCGTCGGCGTTTCGTCGTCGTCCCTCCTATTTCGTCGCCGTCGTCGTCGTCGTCGTTGTCGTCGTCGTCTTCCCTCCTCCCTCGTCATTGTCGTCGTCGGCGTCGCCGTCCTTCCTCCTTCTTCGTCGTTCGCGTCGTCGCCGTCCTCCCTCCTCCCTCGTCGTTGTCGTCGTTGTCGTCGTTGTCGCCGTCGTCGTCCTCCCTCCTCCCTCGTCGTCGTCTTCGTTGGCGACGTCGTCGTCGTCTTCGTCGTCGGCGTCGGCGTCGTCGTCGTCGACGTCGTCGTCGACGTCGGCGTCTTCGTCGTCTCCGCCGTCGCCGTCGTCGTCGTCGTCGGTGTCGTCGTTGTCGTCGTCGTCGGCGTCGTCGTCGTCGTCGTCGTTGTCATCGTCGTCGTCGGCGTCGGCGGCGTCGTCGTCGTCGTCGTTGTCGGCGTCGTCGAAGTCGTTGGAGACGTCGTCGGTGTAGTCGTTGTCGGCGGCGTCGTCGTCATCGTTGTCGCTGTCGTCGTCCGCGTCGTTGTCGTTGCCAAGTGCCATTTGGTACCCACCGTCATGGTCTTAAGAGATTTTGCAAACCAAGTCGCGGGTGGGTGGGTGGGATGTTTGCGCGAGCAGTAAAAGTGGTCAAGCGCGGTGCAGGGTAGTCAACTGCACCACATAGACTGCACCACTTAGATTCCACACGCTAGATTGCAACACATAGTTTGCTAGAAGCACACTGTTTGGGGTCCACGCTGGCGAACATTTAAACACAACCAGTGGAAGCGGACAGGAAAAAGGCAGGGGGGCCACGGGTCGATCTTTGACCTGAGCACGCAACAGAAACGGCGCCCAAAACGTAGTAACCAAAAATGTAGGGCTTGAAAACAGATACAAACACAACACCCTCAGCGACTTCAAGGACACCTAAGGCCGCGGACACCTGGAACTGCATCCCTATTTCTGCTTCGTGATGGCGGTGGACGTCCTCACGGCCGAGGAGCTGTGCCACAGCTGCGCGGAGTTCTCCGTGCTCGGCAGGAGCGACACGCTCTTCCTCGCGGGCGTGGAGGCCGTGGGGATGTTCTTCGTCACCAGCGGCGCGCTGGAGCACTCGGGGACAACGTTGGGTGGAGCATGGGCTCAGCGGGGGATGCATCGGCCCGCAGTCGCCCACTGATCGCCGAGTGGGGCCCGATAGCCCACTCCGCTCAGGCACACTGGGCTCCCTCTACTGGGGGCCTGTTGCCGATCTGCCGGCGGCGTATCGCCGATCCCAGGTCGATGTGTCCCCTCCCGGGCTGGTCCCATCTGATGGTTGCCCCTCAGGTACGCGTTCGGGGGGCGCCGGCCGAGAAAGACGATCCGCTTCCTGGGGAACACCCCGATCGAGGTTCAAGGGAGGGGAAGAGAGGTGCCAGTGCCGCTGCCCTCCCCTCGCCGGCAGGGCTGGACTCGCCCTGGAGTCCCAGTCAGAGCGTGCCCCTGGGAGAGGTCCAGAGAGTAGGAGGAGGAGGAGGAGGAGGAGGAGGAGGAGGAGGAGGAGGAGGAGGAGGAGGAGGAGGAGGAGGAGGAGGAGGAGGAGGGGGGAGGGGGAGGGGGGAGGGGGGAGAGGGAGGAGGGAGGAGGGAGGAGGGACCCGCATTCCCGTGGGGCCCATCGAGGTGGCCAGGCAGCCCACCGCGAGGGAGCCGCAGCTCTCGGAGCTGGTGGAGCAGGGCCAGTGGCTCGCCGAGGCGGCGCTGTGGTGCGACTGGCGGCACGCGGGCACCGCGGAGGTGGGCACGGCGCCGTCCTGCGAGGTGCTGCGCGTCGAGGCGGACAGCCTGGTGCGCTTCATGATGGTGCTCTGGAGCGGCGAAACCATACAGTCGGGGTGCTGAAGAAGGAGCCTTTTTCGTTGGGGAGGGGCCCCGTGCTTCTTGATTGTTTCACGGCTTGCCTCAGGTTTTCCTTGGGTTTTCGATGGGAAATCGAACTTCAACTGATGGGAAAAAGGGGCCTCGTTCCTTATGTAGGGTTCCTTAGGTCAACGTCCTGACTGTATCCGTGCCCGCGCCCTCGCGGTCCAGATTCCAGGGCGCGGCGATCCTGCGGATGCGCGGTCGCACGGGTGCGTTCCGCCTGGGGGCATCCGCGAAGACATGCCCGGCATCCGCGGGGTCGCGGCCCAGGTTCCGGGCCCGCGAGGCTGCGATGCGCATTTGTTTTTTCGCTCACGAGGTGCGCAAGGGCGCCGTCGGCCAGTCGTCCTGGGCGTACGCGCGCAGCTTCCACGCGCTGCTGACCGAGGCAGCAAACAGCCCGATGCACAACAGGTCCAGTCGGCCCTCCGACTTGCGCTTGCCCTTCTACACGGAGGAGGTCATTTCCAACCTGCCAGCTGGGGCCAGGGCATTCGTGGGCAACGTCGCCCTGTGCGAGCTGAAGGCATCGTTGGGCAGCGTGCAGAGTTGGGTGGCCTCACTGAGCGAGGGTTGGCCCAACATCGAGAGGCTGCGCGAGGACTCGAGGAGCAACAACCAGCATGCCGTCGTTTTCTTCTTCGCTGTTTTGCCGATCGGCGCGGGCCCTCGCACCCCCCCCTCCTCCCCCCGCCCCCCATGTAGTAGATGTTGGTCGTTTTTGGCGCCTGTTTCAAGCCTTCTCCACGAGACGCACTGCTGCAAGCAGTCGTGTGATAAGCAGAGGTCCGGAGCCATAACCCCCCTCCGCCCCCGCCCAGGAGGGTCCCTCCGAAGGGCATAGGCGACCCGTCCTCCTCCTTCTCCTCCTCCTCCTCCTCCTCCTCCTCCTCCTCCTGTCAGGCCGAGGCTTTTTTCAAATGCATCGCCACCGCGGATAAGCAGTGCAGTCTGAGCTCCGTGTGGCACCTCCTGAATGCAGTGTGGGTCCGATGATGTCTGGGTCCTTATCCCGCCCGCTCGCGGGTGCCATAAGGAACGGGCGGAGGGCAGCAGTTCCTTCTGGGAGGTTCGTGGTCGTTCATTGTCGTCCTTCGTGTCTCGCATCGTCGGCGCGTCCGTCGCCAATTCCCTCTTTGGGAGTTGCGGCACGGCCCTGGATATAGTTCCGGGGTGGACGTTGTTTGCGCTCCTGGGCCGGAGAGTGGCCCTCCCCCTTCCCGCCTCTGCTGCCGCCGCCGTCGCCGTTGCAGCCGTCGGGCCAGGGCTTTTAGTGCCCTGCCACCTCGGCCAGGAGGCGCGGCTTGGGCTCGGGGAAACCCCAGCGCCACCTCCTGGTCTGAGGTGAACCGCCGTGGACGATCACGGAGGCGGGGCCCGCAGCTTCCCGCCTGCAACCTCTCGGTTGCAGTGCTCTTTGCGGCGGGCGTACTGTTGCCGTGTTTGTGGGGGTGCGGGCGTCGGGCGACTCTCCGCACACTGTCCGTTGGGCGCCGATCCCGAACCCCTTTGCGCCAGTTTGGCGCGGGGTGTAGGGGGGGTCCTCGATTTGTTTTTTCTTGATTTCCTCCCTAAGGCACAGCGTTTCTGGCGCTATTGGGAGGTAGTCCGAGAATGGAAGCCGGAAGTCAGGTCCTAGCTTGCGTCCGCGATTCCCCCTTTTTGCACGTGTGCCCTTGGTGTTGACCACGTTGGCCGTTGGCCAGGGGACGTTTGCCCGCTTTTCGTTGAGCGCCACGGGTTTGTTCTGCCTTTGGGCCTGCCAGCTCCTCCTCCTCCTCCTCCTCCTCCTCCTCCTCCTCCTCCTCCTCCTCCTCTCCTCCTCCTCCTCTCCTCCTCCTCCTCCCCCCCTCCTCTTCCCCCTCCTCCATTTCTTCCCCCCCCCCCCCCTCCTCCACCTTAGCAGCCGCGTGTTCGTCCTCGGACGCGCGCGCGCCTCGCCTGGTAGCCTCGTGCCCCCCTCCTCCACCTCCTCCTCCCCCTCCTCCTCTTCGGGGCGCCTGCGGCCCCGGGGGACACCGTGTTCCCCCCCCCCCCTCCGCCCAGCGTCGGCGCGCGCCGGGCAGGAGCAAGCGCTCGCCCTGCGCGCGAGCTCGCGGAGTGGCGCGCCGCTTCCCGCGCGATTCGGGCGGGGCCCCCCGGCGGCGCAGCCCCTCCGGCGCCGGCCCCGCGGCGCGCTCTCCGCGCGCCAGGGGGGGCGCCCCGCGCTGAGGCAGGAAGTCCGCGCGGTGGTCCTAAGGCTCAGGTGTTCCCAGTTTTTGTTCCTGGAACGTTGTCGCCGTGCTGTTTGTGGTCTGATGTATTGCTTGTGCGGGGGGGACGTAAACACTGTTCGTCTCCAGTTCTTCGAGAGATCTTTGATTTTGTTGGGGGGCCAGATTTTTGTCTCGTCTCATTGTTATATCCTGGGCCTCTTCCTGGCCACTGGGGGGGCCAGGAACAAGTAGAAACGAGAGCACTTAGAAATGAGCACGGTTAGACATGAACGACGTGCAAGACTCGAGTAAACCGGAATTCGGGTCAGTGGTCGTTTTTTGACGAGCGCGCCTTGGATTTGGACGGTCCAGTTCCCGTGGGATGTTTGCAGCGGGAGTTCGCGACAAATTTCAGAGTGGGTCTCGTCATTTTCATGATGGCCCCGTCAGGCCAATCCGAGTCTCCCGTAACTACCCGAGTACTACGTCTCCAAAAATCGATCGGGGGCGGACAGACCCCCCAACAGTGACACGTCGATTAGTGAATTGTCCGTTTTCGGTTCTCGAGGGGGTGCCGCGGCCGTTATTTTCCAGGCTGGCGCCCGCCAGGTTTGGGCCTCGGGCCGTTTTCACTAAACCACGCTTTACTAAAGGGGGGTCTGTCCATCCCCGAATCTAAGAAGCGGAGCGCGAGGATCGCTGGAGCGCGGGGATCGCCGGATTCGGACTCGGCTGGGCGCGTCGGCTTCCCTGCGCGTCCAGGGGATCGCTGGAAATTGAAGGCCGTCGGGCGCCTCGGCCTCCTGCGGTTTCCTGTAGTGTTTTTTTTGTGGTTTTTCGGGAGGGAAAAAAACACAGACACAATTAATCGTCGACTCACCAGAAAACATGGGAAAATATGGGAAGTGGTGGGGAAGACAAAAGCCCAGAAAATATAGGAAAAGATGGGGCATATTTTTATTGGTGTGTATTTATTTGTGTGTCCCAGGGCCCCGTCAGTTTTCCATGGTATCCCGTGGCTTCCCGTCGTAGGAGCATCGCTTTCAGTTTTGCCTTCTCTGGTCCTCGTGTCTACTGCTGTTTAGCCTCCTCTCCCGCACGGGTGCACTAACCCATCGGTCGTTCAGGTCAGGCATTTCTGGATTTCCAGATGCCATTCTCTCTTTTTTTGTACGCGCCTTCCTACTTCAATGATCGAGTGGCTTCACCTGTTCCGTCCTCCTCCGGGGGCGGGCGAAAACCCAGATTACCGTCAACGCCTTCCTGCCTCGTGCTTCTGCCTGCCTTTTCCCCGGCCGAGGGGCAATCATTCCTCGAAGGACCTGGAGGGCGGCAACAGCTCGCTGGTCCTCTCCAGGGGGAACAAGTTCGGGGTGCAGCGCGTCGTCACCATGGTCGCGCTGCACCTCTGCAGGGAGGACGGGCGCGTGCTCGTGGCGCTGCGGCGGCCGAACGCCTCCCAGGACGCACGCGCTGGGGACGTCTGTCCACGTCCCCTGGGTTGGGGACGCGCCCCCAGACCTCCAACGCTCCGTCCGCCTCCTCCTCCTCCTCCTCCTCCTCCTCCTCCTCCTCCTCGTCCTCCCCCTCCTCCGCCTCGACACATTCGATACAGAGGTTGTTCCTCTTTGTCGGCCTCTGGTTGCCCCCGACGTGACCTGGGACCGTCGAGGACTGTTCAGGGGGCGAGTTCGGCCCTGGGGAGAGGGCCGGGACTTCTCGGGATCCCGCGCTCGGATCTCTGGGCCCGACGATTTCGCGAAGCTTTGGACGCGGATGCCCAAAGATAGCAAGGCGGCTTGAACAGAGCCTTGTGGATATCCGCGGGGATCTATTTGTCCATTCGATAACCCTCCCACTTGCTGAGGAGCGTCAATCTCCAGCCCCAGCGTTCCGCGGGATGTTTTCAGGGGCATGTCTCCAAGTGACCAGGGGATGTTGATGTGCTTCCCTGGTGTTGAGAGGAGGGCGCGGAGGCCAAGCTGCCTGGCCTCACACAGGCGGATGGGGAATACCCCGAGCAGTGCTACCAGCGTCTGCTGGACAACTACGTCGGCGCCATGGCTCCGGGCATCGTGCTCGATGGTGTCGAGAGGCAGTACGAGGAGACGATGGAGGAGGACCTCGGGGTCTCCACCAGGTGCATCAAGATCGTGTTCAACGCCCGCTGGGAGCCACCGCCTGCAGTGATGGAGAGGGTTCTGAGCAGGAGGGGCTCGATGGACGCCACGGGGCCCCTGCCGACTCGTGACTCCCAGGGCGACCTCCTGCAGACAGACGAGGTCTTCCGCCTGCCGGGCGGCGCCATGGTTGCCTGGTTCACGCCAGAGGTACGGGACCCAAACACATACACCACCACCACCTCCCTCCCCTCCCCTCCTTCCCCCCAGGAGAGAGGAAATGAATAAGAGGGTAGAGGAGGGAGGAGGAATCGACCTGGTGGTGGTGTATATTTCAAGCAGTGGCGAAGCCCCCTGGCTCGCCTATAGGCCCACCAAAAAATGTTCTAAGAACCTTCTGTGGTTTGCACAAAGTGTTCTTAGAACATGTCTGGCTGGGACGGTCTTATTTTAACACATCGGGCTTCTGTTCTAAGAACATTGGTTTCGTTCTTAGAACATCTCTGGGTTCTAAGAAAATTCCGTGGTAGATCTATAGGAATGCCGGGACGGTCGGACCCTGCTCAAATATTCTTTGGGCCCGCAAGAGGAGCTCCAGAGGATCAGCGGGGCGGACGGGACCACGGCTCTCGGCCAGTGGCTCTCCAGGATCAACTTTCCCCTCAAGGCCTCGCGGCGCCAGAGGAGGGACTCCAAGCTGAGGGAGGACGAGCTGTCTGGAGAGCTCAGGCCTGGCCGCACGAAGGGATATATACATAATATCTACAACTATACATTGATATACATATGTACATATAGAATCAGGTATACAAATACGCCCCCCCCCCCGGGAGCGTCCTACGCCTCCGTCGCCTCTCGGGGCAACTCCCGGTACCGCGCCCCCGGGCCTCTAAGGGAGGCCCCAAGTGCCCCAGGACGGCCCAAGACAGGGAAACAGGTGGCTGCGAAGGCTGCTGCACGCAGCTGGTTTCCCCCGCGCCGCCGGGCCCACTCCTCGAGACATGTGCGCCTCACGGCGCCAGGAGGCGCCAGGGAGACCAGCTGCGTGAGCCGATTCTCTATCCTGTCCTTTGCTATCCTACCAGTTGGCCCCCCCAATCAGGGAGAAGGACCAGGACGCGGAGTCCCCGGCGGCCCTGTGAGGCGCGCTCCGTCGCGCCGGCGCCTCAGCGCTCCCAACCACCTCCCTCCCCCCCTCCCTCAGGGACCGATAGCGGGGGAGAGGCATTGGCGGGATGCATCGGCCCCCAAGACCCCCAATCGCCCAGTCATCGCCGATGTGAGCCCGATAGCCACAGCCTGCCCAGTGGAAGGTTCGGATCCGCCATCGGGGGCCTCTCGCCGATCTGTCTCTGCGATGTACCGCCGATTCCAGGTCGATGTGCTTCCCCCCCTATGCCTATTCCCCCCTATCGTTGCCCCCCCTCCCTCGTGTGCACTTTTCCTCGGCTCGAGGAGCACCCCCGATCGTCTGGCAGAGGTGTGCGCACGGAGCCGAAGAGGGCACGGGGAGCGGACGCCCGAGCGATGGCGAGGCCGGGGTGCTGGCCAGATCCCTGCACGCACGTGCTGGGGCTCCATTTCCCGCCTCCTCCTCCTCCTCCTCCTCCTCCTCCTCCTCCTCCTCCTCCTCCTCCTCCTCCTCCTCCTCCTCCTCCTCCTCCTCCCTCCTCCCCCTCCTCCCCCTCCTGCTCCTCCTCCTCCTCCTGCTCCTCCTCCTCCTCCTCCTCCTCCTCCTCATCCTGCTCCTCCTCCTCCTACTCCTCCTCCTCCTCGTCCGCCTCCTCCCTCCTCTCCCCCCCATCGCCATGGGGGACACGGGTCCCGAGGGAGACGGGTCCCGAGGTTGTGTCTCCGTTTTGGGCGGATCGCGGGGCCTTCCGCGAGCCCCGCGAGCTGTCAGAATCACGACCCAGGATGAAGTCGGGCCTCCTCCTCCTCCTCCTCCTCCTCCTCCTCCTCCTCCTCCTCAAACGTCAAAAATAGTCTGGGGACGATTGTTCTTGTAATTATCATCATGTTTGGGGCATGTGTTGACAATGTTTTATTTGTCGTCCAGAATCCGCCTGCAGGGGGACACGTCCGACTTTCATCCAGGAAGGAGAGCTCGTCCTGAGGGAAGGCCCCCGGGTCCAGGACCCGTCAATCCCCAGGACGCGGTTCCCTCAGGCTAACCACCACCTTGTCTCCTCGGCGCCAGAGAAGGGCGATGGATGAGTTGTCGACTCGAGCCTCTCCCTCTCCCCTCCCTCCCCTCTCCGTTCAGCCCCCTCCTCGCCATCGGCCCTCTCTGCCACCGTCCTGTGAGCCTCGCCCCCGCCGTCTTCTGAAAAGGTCTTCTCCTTCTCACTTCCCCCCCTCGCTCGACGCCGATGATCGCCCCCCCCATTAAGCCAGGCTCAACTTGAGGGATGTGCTTCTGTCACATGTCTGGCGGTTGATTACCAGGCCTCTGGGGGCATCCGTGCTGCTCTGCCATCGGAGCCCGCGAACGTTTGGTCGGCGGCGAGCGAGAGGGGGAAATGAGAAGGAGAAGGCCTTCTCAGAAGGCGGCGGTGCTTCTCCGAAGGCATCCGGCCTTTGAAAGTTGTTGTGTGTCTTCGGGGAGTGCTTAGAACACTCCTCAGAAGGCCCAGGGACATCCAAGCCTGGGTCGAGCAGGGGGGATGAGAATCGGAGGCCAACAAGCATACACCGACACCGAACTCGCGGGGCTAGAATCATGTTGTTTCACATGGCGATCCACTGTTGATTGGCATCCAGCCAACGAAAATAACAAATAATCAAGAATGGGGCGAGTGAGTGGAGGAGGAAAGGACGATGTAGGGGACGGGGAGTAATACGTGCACCACGAGGGGCCAGAGAGGGAAAGGGATGGAAGGCGGACTTGGAAAGGGGGCCCCAAGAAGGCTCCAAAAGGGCATCGAGAAGGCCCTTTTCTGGATGTTCCTGGCGCTGCGCTTCGGAAGGCCTTATGGGGGCATCTGGGAGAGGCCCTCTTGGGGTTTTCTCGAGCCTTCTTGGAGTTACACCTAAGCCCTCCGAAGGCCCCCAGGCGGCCCCAGAGAACCTCCAAGACGGCCCTCAAGCGCCCAAAGAGGATTCAATGCTACCTAGGCAGTGCCCATGGCTTCCGAAGGCCAAGAGGCCTCCAAGAGACCCCCAAGAGAGCCGCAACCGGCCCCAGAAGGATTTCCAGGAGGCCCAAATCATTGATTTCCTTTTAATTACGTGTTTCAATGATTTGGACGTTCTCGTCTTGTCGGGCTTCCGACGATCCAAGACGGGCTCAGATGCCCCAAGATCGCCCCAAGACGGCCCAGGAGGCCCCCCATGAGGTTCGCAAGACGGCCCAAGAGGGCCCCACCACTGCCCAAGAGGCCCCCAGAAGGCCCCAGAGACCTCCAAGACGGCCCTAAAGCGCCCAAGGAAGGGACCCACGGTTGCCCAGAGGGCCCAAGGCGGCCTCCGAAGGCCAAGAGGCCCCCAAGACGGCCTCCAACCGGCCCCAGGAGGACTTCCTTGAGGCCCAAATTATAGATGTTCCTGAAGTGGTTCAATTAATTTTAGCGTTCTCGCCTTTTCGGGCTTCCGACGCTCCAAGACGGGCACATAGTCTCCCAAGATCGCCCCAAGACGGCCTAAGGCCCCCAAGTGGCCCGCAAGGCGGGCCAAGAGGGCCCGCATGGGCCCAAGACGCAACCATGACGGCCCCGGACGGCCCCAGAGATTTTCAAGGCGGCCCTTAAGCGAGCCCCAAGCCTCCGAAGGAAAAAGAGGGTCCATAGAGACCCCTAACAAGTTTTCAAGAAGCGCCAGGAAAACCCCAGGAGGCCCAGCAGGCCCTCAAGAGGGCCCTCAGAGCCCCCGAAAGGCTTTCAGGAGGCCTCACTCCTCCCCTTCCTCCTCCTCCTCCTCCTCCTCCTCCTCCTCCTCCTCCTGCTGCTGCGCTCGCACCGAAAGAGGCGATCCTCGTAGCGTCTCCACGGCCCGCGCTGCGGGCCGAACATGCATTCGCGACGGGGTCGAACTGGCCACCTGATCCTCATCCTCCCCCACCTCACTCCTCCCAAAAAGAACGAAGGGCACCTTCGACCCCTATCACGAAGACGTCGAGCCCCCCAGGTGGGGACCCACCCTGGGGGGCTCACCACACCGGCCTCCTCAGAGGTCCCAGATGGCCTCCGCGGCCTGCGCCAGCAGCGCCCAGGCATCTCGCCCTTGCCGTCCAGCGTCGGGCGCCCCGACTCAGCCGTCTAGCCCAGGGGGTTGTTACTTTGTGGGCTGAATCCACCCCCCCTGGGCCACGACCCGCGCACCTTCACCAGGAAGTCGTCCTCATACGCATTCCCCATTCATCATCCACCATACGTCATGCCAATATTCGTATTCAACGTTTTGGCCTCCAACTCCGACCATGATGTCCTTCTCCACATACTCGTCATCTATACCAGTGGGTATCCTGGCCATGTCCGTGGTTACGCACATTGGGACTCGGGCCTTCCCACATGCATGATATATTATCATTAGGGCTCGAAATACGGTATTTGCCCTTGTTTGCTTAACCAACGATTTCCCACGGATTTCGGTACCACCCCACAGTCGCATACCCAAATGCCCATATGTCTTTCCAACAACACCAAATATCTTCCGCCTGCATATATCCTTCACCGCTGTGTGACACATACCATCAGTAGCAATCGCGTCCATTTCTATTGTCCTGATATCCATCATCTTGATCTGGAATGGTACGTCCTCATGAAAACTATCAAACCATGCAGTAGATTCACTTTCGGAGTCATATATCAAGAGTAATTGCGACTCCCTGTCCACACACTGGTATGTCGGACTTTCCTCATTGCAAGTGGATGCGACCTCATCAATCAAAACTTGCGGTATTGACACTATCATATTCTCCTTCGAACTTGAATTCCTGCAATACCTCGGTCCCTTTGTAGGTGGTCTCAATGCTTTTGATTCAGAATATCCCATACTTTTGAGCACCGCCGTTTCTTTTATATCTTTCTCATCCATTTCTGCCAGCTCTTCATCAGCCATCGGTTCCACTATACCCCGCAATATGTCAATGCATTTGGTTTGACGATATTTCAAGTGATATATCAACCTTTTCCTTGTGTGAAAATTCACATCGCAGGCAGCACAATACCCATCGTACGCATACCGAGGTATGTCATCGTTGTTGCCATGCACTTTGGTGCGATGACAATGCCACGCACACCTAGTTTCAAACGTGGCTCCACACTCATAACAAATGAAAAGTAATCTCTGACCCACCTCATGCTCCCGTGGGACAATACCTCTAATTTTTTGCTGCCATACCCCATGCTGACAATGATCGACATGCCATTGCATACACCGTTTCCATGCCATGGTACATATTGCCAAATATTTCTTGGGGGCCTGCCGCATGAGCTCGATCCACTGTCGCATCTCCATTGGCGTGTCCCCTGCATTCCTCCATTGTTGTAGCCATTCAGAGTCATTTTCCAGCATACTAAGCCACGTACCTTCAGTCCCAAGAATGTCCACCAATCTTCGTAGGGTCGCCGGTGCATGATTCACTACCCTTTCAAGATATCGCAGCCTCCTCATACGCTTAATCGTATTGTAATCCGCCCGCTTTGCTCTCCAAAGTACATATTCATCGAGATGGTGATCAACAGTGCCTGCATTATGTGTTAGTCCCGTTGCCATCCTCAATCCCCTCATATACGCAGCTCTCAGTCTTGACTCATTTCCTTCCCCCAGCTCATGCCATATCTCAACCTGCTGAAATAAACGCGAAAAGGCCAGTGCCTCGACATACCTAACCTTGAACTCATCCTTTATACTTTTCCGTGGTATGATGCCCCGTCTGATAGGTCCCATCGCGTGTTCGCAACTTTGAATACGTCGGGTAATCTCTGGTCGCCACGAGCAATCAAAAGATACCACCACCCCCATATGTTTGTAATGTCTTTCGATATGGAACGTGAAACCATACTTGTCACTCGTCAAAGACACTTCTCCTCCATACAGTGCTTCACGCAACGATTCCCGATTTGGTCCTCGGAGCTGGAACAACGCTCCCGTCTTCCCTCTTCCGTAGTTCGGCTCCATAAAGTGTGCAACAAACGATGCGTGCATGATGTCCATGGCATCCCTCACACTCTGTATAATGCAGTCATTCTCTTGCACTATGGGG